AGCCGGGGATATCTGATGGTGGTTATATCTATATAGTCGGGGATATCTAATGGTGGTTATATCTATATAGTCGGGGATATCTGATGGTGGTTATGTAGTCCGGGATATCTGATGGTGGTTATATCTATATAGTCGGGGATATCTGATGGTGGTTATATCTATACAGTCGGGGATATCTGATGGTGGTTATATCTATATAGTCGGGGATATCTGATAGTGATTATATCTATACAGTCAGGGATATCTGATGGTGGTTATATCTATATAGTCCGGGGATATCTGATGGTGGTTATATCTATATAATCGGGGATATCTGATGGTGGTTATGTAGTCCGGGATATCTGATGGTGGTTATATCTATATAGTCGGGGATATCTGATGGTGGTTATATCTATATAGTCGGGGATATCTGATGGTGGTATATATGATAGTATATCTATACAGTCAGGGATATCTGATGGTGGTTATATCTATATAGTCCGGGGATATCTGATGGTGGTTATATCTATATAATCGGGGATATCTGATGGTGGTTATATCTATATAGTCGGGGATATCTGATGGTGGTTATATCTATATAGTCGGGGATATCTGATGGTGGTTATATCTATATAGTCGGGGATATCTGATGGTGGTTATATCTATATAGTCGGGGATATCTAATGGTGGTTATGTAGTCCGGGATATCTGATGGTGGTTATATCTATAATGTCGGGGATATCTGATGGTGGTTATATCTATATTGTCGGGGATATCTGATGGTGGTTATATCTATATATCCGGGGATATCTGATGGTGGTTATATCTATATAGTCGGGGATATCTGATGGTGGTTATATCTATATAGTCGGGGATATCTAATGGTGGTTATGTAGTCCGGGATATCTGATGGTGGTTATATCTATAATGTCGGGGATATCTGATGGTGGTTATATCTATATTGTCGGGGATATCTGATGGTGGTTATATCTATATATCCGGGGATATCTGATGGTGGTTATATCTATAATGTCGGGGATATCTGATGGTGGTTATATCTATAATGTCGGGGATATCTTATGGTGGTTATATCTATATTGTCGGGGATATCTGATGGTGGTTTATCTATAATGTCGGGGATATCTGATGGTGGTTATATCTATAATGTCGGGGATATCTGATGGTGGTTATATCTATATTGTCAGGGATATCTGATGGTGGTTATATCTATATTGTCGGGGATATCTGATGGTAGTTTTATCTATATAGTCGGGGATATCTGATGTTGGTTATATCTATGAAGTCGGGGAAATCTGATGGTGGTTATATCTATACAGTCGGGGAATCTGATGGTGGCTATATCTATATAGTCGGGGATATCTGATGGTGGTTATATCTATATAGTCGGGGATATCTGATGGTGGTTATATCTATACAGTCGGGGAATCTGATGGTGGCTATATCTATATAGTTGGGGATATCTGATGGTGGTTATATCTATATTGTCGGGGATATCTGATGGTGGTTATATCTATATTGTCGGGGATATCTGATGGTGGTTATATCTATATAGTCGGGGATATCTTATGGTGGTTATATCTATTTAGTCGAGGATATCTGATGGTGGTTATATCTATTTAGTCGAGGATATCTGATGGTGGTTATATCTATATTGTCGGGGATATCTGATGGTGGTTATATCTATATAGTCGGGGATATCTGATAGTGGATATATTTATATCTGTTGGACGGATATATCTATACGATCGTGATATCTAATGGACTGATATATGTATAGCTGTGAGGTTGGATTTTTCCCACGATGGTGTCATCAGTTGGACGATAGGTCGTAAGTTTGGTAAGAAATTGAATTCTTTTCATTATTGTACACTACAGAGAGAGATTCGCTTTTTTTCTCTGGTGGAAATACAAATAATCTTCAGTGCTGATATTTCAGCTCTAAACATGCGATCATCTGTTGTTTTTCATGCATTCAAGGATAACCTTTGAACTTTGTTAATTTCGATAAGTTACGCTATCAACTTGAGCTAATGATGACCGTTATCAAATGTCACAATCTCGTAACAGTTTCATTCTGACGTCATCTCGCGCAAGGCTAAACAATGAAAAAAAGTATGATAAGGGGGCTATATTCATTCATTACTGAGACATGCGTTCTTGCAAAGCTGGACTCTGCTATAAAATATGCTAATATAAAACACTCGACGCTCGGCAGTTACACTGTTACCTATATTCCCATTGACCGCGGCAAAACATTAATTTTCCACTAATTCAATCAACTCATAATCTGCCTGGACTGCTAGCACGAGATCTTCTGCTAAATTGTTTGATACTTTTTCAATTGTTTATGTCACCGCGCGTGCAGATTCGCGCCATCTGTCATTATATTTTTTAGCAAATGTCTAAAACGAAGAAGAGTTTCAATGCCAGGCAAAATAGATCTCACATATGGCACTAGAGTGCTTTTTAGATAGTTTCTGGTCCGCGACTGAAATGATTCTTTTGTTAAGTTTGCGAAATATATTGATCAAAATTCATTAATTAGACAACTAAGGTTGGATGGAAATCTTATGGTGTTTCCGTGCGATCAGCCTGGATTCACCCGTCAGAAGGCTTTCGGTACAGCACATATGGCCATACAGTCAGACTCGTCCTTTATAAAATCATGATTCATTGCTTCCCAATAAATTTTGCTTTAAACAATAAAATGACTGATTAAATCATTAGATGTAACATGAAACAACGTGCTTGATAGGAGACTAGAATCTGCGGTACGTCACGACATATACCGGGATATGCCGATGTCACAACTGTCACGTGGATATACAATAACTATCCATTAACGTGTGAACAGCGTCTAAATATGAACTTACCAACGGAAATAAGTGCACAATTCCGGCACTTCTGAGGTGTAACATGAATTTAATTATACTTTATTGTTATTATAATCATTTTTTGTTTTGATTTTGTTTTTGCTCTTCATAGAACTACTTTAAAACAGAGCAAATTTCTCCAATCATCGCCTTTTTCGCAAAAATTTGGTTAAAGACACTAAGGATAATTGTTTACTCAGCCGTTTTGAATAATAATATCGACATGTTCTGTAACATCGGATATTGGGAATTACCAATCAATGCAAATCATAGGTTTGCCGAAAGATAGTGCACCAATATATATTTTTTTTCACCATGAATATTGCTTAATGTCCTAATCGGGACTGCCCGGTTCCGAATTCTACTTTATCTAGTCAGCATCCGGATCTACGTTTAAGACAGAACATAAAACTTTCCGATAATAACAAAATAAACTTGAACAGTGACAAGTAGTATGTGTTAAATATCTTTAATAATGTGATTTGGTACCAAACATTATACGGGGCGGTATTTTGAGCTAACGACAGAAAGTGTTACATGTGTTTCACTGTCAATCTAAGGTAGAGGATGAGGAACACTACATTGGAACGGCTTCAGACTTAATCCATATCGTATTATAGATTCAAGGGTGGTGATAAAATGTCCATAAATCGGCGCAAAATCCTGTTTTCAGATTTTGAAGAGACGAGGGATCTTTTACTGGAAATTTCATAATGCATACTTTCGGTTACTTGGAGGAAACAGTATAATTTTTGTGGTTTTTTTTTTTTTTTTTTGTTTTTTTTCGTCTCTCGTAACTCTTTACTAGAGAGGTGGCATTGTTTTTATTGTCAAGTACATATAAATAACTGATGAGACGTAATTAAGATACAGTAATATACTTGAATTGTCATTAAATTTACTGATCTGTAAGTGCAACTGCATGACTAATTTGTAGCTTTTTATAAGTCTGAATATTGATCTTCCCAATCCACACAAATTGTATTACAATATTGAAGGGAAATACTCTATAGATTATTTTCCATGCTCGTTATTTTAAGCAGAAATGTCGTCTTGGTTAAGATAGCTGGAAATAATGAATAAGTTAGTTTGATCGAAATATCGCCCCGAGCAAACTTGACTCAGCCTTAAAATTTTTTTTTTGTTTTTTTTTGTGTGTGTTTATTTTAAACAAATGAGACGTGTAAATATTTTTGTATTTGATCAGCTTGATAAAAATGGCAGGAATTACGGCCATAACACGGTTTGATTAAGATAATTAAGGTTAAGATGATACATGTAAGTTTCATGAAACTCGTGGCTTTACGTGAATAACCCAACTTACATCATGAGAACAAAAGTGGTTGGATTTTTTCGGTAAAAATCATCTGTATTCAGGCTGTGGACTTTGGTCCTTTTTTTTTACTATATTTTACCGTTCATGCAAAATTTGAACATCATAAATTGAATACATCTATAACAGTCATCTTACCAATATGTAAGTGTTTACAAAAAGTAGTAAACATACACCAATGTATATGAAATATGGATCTTTTTACAATTACACAGAGATAGGCTCAGTGAATGTAATGTAAAACCAAGTCGGCACTACCGGCCAAATCTTATGGTTAATATTTCAAGTACCCGAATTTGCAATCGGTCACGCGCATGTATGAAAAATACACACATTTTCAAATTCTAATCGGTTGAATCAAACCTCATATGGATATGAATTTATATTTTTTCAAAAGATTTCGAAAGCAAATTTAGTGACATTGATCAGTAATAATGGTAGTTCAACCATATTTCAATGCCGTTTTTACAGTAGAATATTACAGCAAATCTCTCCTGTTTAACTAATACTGTGTTGTTACCTATACCTAGGGTTACAAGACAGATTTTATCATTTGAAGTTGGTTGAATATAGCTTTTCTTACTTCCTTGATCTGGCACAAAAATAACCCCATTTTCCATCAGAGCCATGTTATAATGTAGATAAATGCAGAAACCTACCATTCTCAATTAAGACTTAATTCTGTTGGTCTCATGTCAAGATTTGGAACGTATTTTTGAGTAAGAGAAGTAGACCATACCTACCTCTGTGTCATACACTAGTGGGTGTTCATAAGATAATACAACACATATGAATAAATTTCATAATCAACGTTTTATTTTACTAAACATCAATATTTCCCATACACAACATTTGGTCAACATCTCTCACCCATAACATTTGATCAAAGAATACCTATATTATGTCACAGACAATAAAGTACTGACCCAGGGGCTTTACACAATGAAGTACTGACCCAGGGCTTTACATCATGAAGTACTGACCCAGGGGCTGTACACAATGAAGTACTGACCCAAGGGCTTTACACAATGAAGTACTGACCCAGGGGATTTACACAATGAAGTACTGACCCAGGGGCTTTACACAATGAAGTACTGACACAGGGACATCACACACAATAAAGTACTGACACAGGGTCATCACACACTAATATACTCACTCAGGGACATCACACACTATAAAGTACTGACACAGGGTCACCACACAACAATATACTCACTCAGGGACATCACACACAATAAAGTACTGACACAAGGGCATCACACAAGAATATACTCACTCAGGGACATCACACACAATAAAGTACTGACCCAGGGGCTTTACACAATGAAGTACTGACCCAGGGGCTTTACACAACAATGCACTGATTCATGGATATCATACAGCAAAGTACTAACTCAGGGACATCACACAACAAAGTACTAACTCAGGGACATCACACAACAAAGTACTAACTCAGGGACATCACACAACAAAGTACTAACTCAGGGACATCACACAACAAAGTACTGACTCGGGGACATCACACAACAAAGTACTGACTCGGGGACATCACACAATAAAGTACTGACTCAGAATCATCACACAATAAAGTACTGACTCAGAATCATCACACAATAAAGTACTGACTCAGAATCATCACACAATAAAGTACTGACTCAGGGACATCACACAATAAAGTATTGACTCAGGGACATCACACAATAAAGTACTGACACAGGGACATCACACAATAAAGTATTGACTCAGGGACATCACACAACAATATACTCACTCAGGGACATCACACAACAAAGTACTGACTCAGGGACATCACACAATAAAGTATTGACTCAGGGACATCACACAATAAAGTATTGACTCAGGGACATCACACAACAATATACTCACTCAGGGACATCACACAACAAAGTACTGACTCGGGGACATCACACAATAAAGTATTGACTCGGGGACATCACACAATAAAGTACTGACTCAGAATCATCACACAATAAAGTATTAACTCAGGGACATCACACAATAAAGTATTGACACAGGGACATCACACAACAAAGTACTGACTCGGGGACATCACACAACAAAGTACTGACTCGGGGACATCACACAATAAAGTACTGACACAGGGGCATCACACACTAATATACTCACTCAGGGACATCACACACTATAAAGTACTGACACAGGGTCATCATACAACAATATGCTCACTCAGGGACATCACACACAATAAAGTACTGACACAGGGTCATCACACAACAATATACTCACTCAGGGACATCACACACTATAAAGTACTGACACAGGGACATCACACAATAAAGTATTGACTCAGAGACATCACACACAATAAAGTACTGACACAGGGTCATCAGACATTAATATACTCACTCAGGGACATCACACACAATAAAATACTGACAGAGGGGCATCACACACTAATATACTCACTCAGGGACATCACACACAAAATTAAGTACTGACAGAGGGACATCACACACAATTAAGTACTAACACAGGGGCATCACACACAATAAAGTAAATTTTACTGAATGTTGATATCACATAACCAAGTATTGACCTGACATTAGGGCATCATATTTACTGTGATGACACCAGTGATTCAAGTATAACCACATGATATTACATAACCTGAACAACAATTGAAATCTGTATAAACAACTCAAGACATCACATAACTATGGAGATATGTCTACAAATTACTTAAAATCATATTCCCATGGCAACAGTAAAACAGAAAGCTTATCATAAGATAATCACAAAATAGAACAACAATTAATGTAAACATGGCAGTATCATATTCCTCAAGTAAAACTAAAGTTTAAACTGAATCTCAGAGCATCACATGTGGATAATCATATTTCAATTCTAAAACAAAAACTACCAAGAATAAATTAAGCAACATAAACTTGGACTAAAATTGAAACAATGTTACAGAACTATTTGAACATCAAAGCCACAAATTGACTTCAACTGTCTGTAAAACATCAAATTTCCCAAATCTGTTAAAAAGTTAGTTTTATTTCATCAGCAAAAACTGTGAATGTATTTACTATCTTGTCTGTATAAAATTTAACTGTAAATCAAGGTAAAGTGTACCTATGAGTAATTATTAACCTGTACATCAGGTGTAATATTTAACTGTAAATCAGGGTAAAGTTTACCTCAGTCATTATTAACCTGTAAGCCTGGTATAAAATTTACCATAAGTCAATGTAATGTTAAATTTACCTTAAGTCGGGTATAACATTTGCATGTAAGTTTGGGGTAAAATTTACCTGTAAGTCAGTATACAGTAGCAGTAACACCTAAGTCTGGTGTAATATTTACCTGTAAGTCAGTATACAGTAGCATTAACACGTAAGTCTGGTGTAATATTTACCTGTAAGTCAGTATACAGTAGCATTAACACGTAAGCCTGGTGTAATATTTACATGAAAGCCAGTATACAGTAGCATTAAAACGTAAGTCTGGTGTAATATTTACCTGTAAGTCAGTATACAGTAGCATTAACACGGAAGTCTGGTGTAATATTTACCTGTAAGTCAGTACACAGTAGCATTAACACGTAAGTCTGGTGTAATATTTACCTGTAAGTCAGTACACAGTAGCATTAACACGTAAATCTGGTGTAATATTTACCTGTAAGTCAGTATACAGTAGCATTAACACCTAAATCTGGTGTAATATTTACCTGTAAGTCAGTATACAGTAGCATTAACACGTAAGTCTGGTGTAATATTTACCTGTAAGTCAGTATACAGTAGCATTAACACCTAAATCTGGTGTAATATTTACCTGTAAGTCAGTATACAGTAGCATTAACACGTAAGTCTGGTGTAATATTTACCTGTAAGTGTATAGTAGCATTAACACCTAAATCTGGTGTAATATTTACCTGTAAGTCAGTATACAGTAGCATTAACACGTAAGTCTGGTGTAATATTTACCTGTAAGTCAGTATACAGTAGCATTAACACCTAAATCTGGTGTAATATTTACCTGTAAGTCAGTATACAGTAGCATTAACACGTAAGTCTGGTGTAATATTTACCTGTAAGTCAGTATACAGTAGCAGTAACACCTAAGTCTGGTGTAATATTTACCTGTGAGTCAGTATACAGTAGCAGTAACACCTAAGTCTGGTGTAATATTTACCTGTGAGTCAGTATACAGTAGCATTAACACGTAAGTCTGGTGTAATATTTACCTGTAAGTCAGTATACAGTAGCATTAACACGTAAGTCTGGTGTAATATTTACCTGTAAGTCAGTATACAGTAGCATTAACACGTAAATCTGGTGTAATATGTACATGTAAGTCAGTATACAGTAGCATTAACACGTAAGCCTAGTATAATATTTACCTGTAAGTCCGTATACAGTAGAATTAACACGTAAGTCTGGTGTAATATTTACCTGTAAGTCAGTATACAGTAGCATTAACACGTAAGTCTGGTGTAATATTTACCTGTAAATCAGTAAACAGTAGCATTAACACATAAGTCTGGTGTAATATTTACATGTAAGTCAGTTATAATGTTTACCTGTAAGTCATTTACATCAGTTACCTGTAAGTCAGGTGTAGCATTTATCTGTAAGTCAGGCTTAATATCTAGTTGTTAATGAATATAAAGTTTACATGTAAATTAAGTCTAAAAGCTAAATGTGAGTCAATATAATATTTATCTGTAAGTCAGGTATGTAGCATTAACCTGTAAGTTAGGAGTCAAATTTATTTGAAAGTCAAAGTTTATCTATAAGTCAGATATAATGTTAAACTACAAGTAGGCATGTGTTTACTTGTAAGCTGGCTTTATAACTCAATGTAAATAAGTAAATGTAAATTTTACCTGTAATTAAGGTATTTTGTTTACCTGTATGTCAATGTAATATTTACCTGTAAATCAGGTATTTTATTTACCTGTATGTCAATGTAATATTTACCTGTAATTCAGGTATTTTATTTACCTGTATGTCAATGTAATATTTACCTGTAAATCAGGTATGATGTTTAGATATATGTCAGGTATAGAATTTACCTGTAACTGTAATCAGAAACTGGTGGGTGATACTGGACGGATGTAAAGGTATAGTTTCAGATGTACACAGAAATGATCACCTTTTTTTCCTTCCTGAGACATATTCTGTTTTGTTCCGTATGATAGCACTCTGTCTCTACATTCAGGTGTTCAGTGTATATGGAATCATGTATATAACAGTGTTTAGAAGTGTTAGGTCCTGTCACCGCCAGAGAGTGAACTGTGGCTGAGACAGCTTTTGTTGTGGCTGGCTCTCCTCCTGGTCTGCAAGAACATCTCCGGTCACTGCTGCGTGTATAAATGGGTCACTGTTGTAGGCATAGGCAGACTCTGGTCGACTATCAGCAGCCTAAAGAACAATTACACATAAAACAATCATATAACCACTGAAAGTTACAGATCAATAATGTCAAAGGAAATCGGGATTCAAAAAGTTAATTAATACATTAACAAAGATATCAATATATATCTGCCAGATTGTGTAAAACAGTCACTTGAAGAAAAGCACACACTTCATACTGGTACATTGTACCAATTTTGATTGAAGCCAGTCTGTCATCAACAAATACAAAATTCAGTAAATGTAATTGTTTTGAAAAGTCTTTCTAAACAAATGTCAAGCAGTATCATCAAAGAAAGGACAGAGCAGTAAAGCATGGCACTTCTGATCGTTCATGTCAGGAGATAAATTTTTACAGCACTCTCATTGGGTGTACCCAGTACAACATCCCTTCACCAAATATGAATCAAAATTTCAAGTGTTTGTTAGTCACAAGTTAATTGCAGTGATCTCCCTTTATGTGTGTGTAGCCCCTTTGAATGAGAAGTTAACAGCGATGGTCTCCCTTTATTTTGTACATTTACTGCCACAACACTGACCTCCTTTCATTTCTTTATGTTCTATTTACACAGTTTACATTGTATATGATAGAACAGAGTGACATTGATCACCATTTACTATAGCATCAAAACAAGCTTAACTTAATATACAAGACTACAATACTTTTCATATGTTTGGGTGTAGGATAAGGAAAGATATTCCAACAGAAGGGTCACAATTTTTTTAAATATTGGGCAAAAGTTAGCTTCAGATCAACATACTACAAAGGATGCCATATAACACAAAAATGATATTTTTATTATGCAATTGATTGACAAATTGACAGAGAAATGAATTTTCCGTACTTTGATTTGGCAAGCAAAGTTTTCCCCAGATAATAAAAATATAATAGTCACTGGAAACAACTATTTGTACACAAATTTGTATACAATAAATACATTAAATCAGACGATGATGTCAATTTGGAAGAGTCACATCAATTTGGAAGGGACACATTTCTACATGTGTTTGCCTGTATTGCATAGGTTGGTAGGTAATACAAAAACAGCAAACCTGAGGGTGTACTGCCCTGGACAGACCAGTATTACACAGGTAAAACTGAGCAAAAATGGTTATGAGCTTATTTGTTCAAGTAAAACCTCCATGGCAATGATCTTTGTTTATATCTACAAGTTAAACAAGTTTCCAATCACATGTAATGTAATATGAAAGAGTAATGCAAACCCTCAGGCTAGGTTCAAACTAGAAACCTTCGGTCTCTAGGCGGACACTCTACCTCTTTACTAAAGAGAAATTCCCACCAGTCTAGTTAGGTGATCAGTACATTCTACTTCTATACAACTCCCTTCTCCACAAAGCCTTTGACCCCCAAGACAACAAACCAGGCTAAATATCTACAAAGGGAAACTCTCAAACTCCTACAGCTTCTACCCTTGGAGTGGTCACAGGAACCAAATTTGTATTGGAAGGACTAATGAAAACCACCCTGTCCTCGGTGGGGTTTGAGGCAGCGACACTTCAAACTCTAGCTGGACACTTTACTATTTGGCTAAAGGAAATTCCCGTAAGCTAGTAAGGCAGTCTGTACACTCAACTTCATCATTAAAAAGAGTGCTCTCCCTTTGCCTTCAGTAGACTACAAACAAACGTAGCAACATCTCAAGCCAATTGTTAATAAACAGAACTTACATTATCTTCATCCTGAAAATGTCAGAAATATGTGTTTTTCTCTCTATGCTGTCTAATGATCACACATCAACAGTACTAAGCTACATTTGTACAGTTCTGTATGTTACAACATAAATGTAGACTTTCAAACTTAATGTTACAATTTTTTTTTCAAAGAAAATTATTTACAGTGTACTATATCTCTGATAATATCATTGATTAACTGTGTTATAGCTTAACCATTGTAATATACTTTATTAATCATAGTTATATTTTATCAATCATAAATTAATTTATCTACACCACAGAATACTCGGTCTTTGTATGCATGTAAACTGGTAATCTACACTACTCACCATTCTATATATATACTGGTAATCTACACTACCCACCATTCTATATATATATATATATTGGTAATCTACACTACTCACCATTCTGATTCCTTGTCCTGGGGTTTTGTATGCTTGTCGATTGTTTGAACCAGTTTCTTGAACCTAATTATAACACAATGTAGTAATGCATAAACAAAATTTAGGAATAATATTACACAGAAGAACAAGAGGTCCAATGGGCCTGCATCGCTCACTTGATATTCAAGGTCAAGGTCATTTCTTTGTGCAAACTCTGTTGGACTTCCTCCAAGAAACCGAACAGTTAAATATCATACATATAGGCCTTTCTGTTAACGGCCAGGTGAGCTAACTATAGGGCAGATACATGGAGGTAACATTCATATAACCTGTGGCATTTGATCACATTTGGTAATCTGCTAATTTACACATGATTTGATCCATATGTTATTTTGAAAAACAAATAAGAATCTTTGTCTGAACTTCAACATTAGTACCAGGTATTACTTTGCCCTTAACAGTACTACATATACCAGGTAAGTAAATCTGTACCTTTTTAATGACTCCTTTCTGAATAAGTTCTGCTTTTTTGCTTCTTGTTAATCCAAGCATGGCAAAGTGTGGCCAAATCTTGTCAGAGGCGGAGGCAAAGTCTTTCGCTGTTCTAGAATATAGAATACATAGATGTCCTTAATCATATTGCTTTGCATATCTTAAAGGTAAATGGAAACAATATTTTGTAGATATCTATATTTTGATAAAGATATCACCTAGGTAGTACCCAGAATCAATTTTCACCTCTTGTTATGGTTATAGACAAGTGTGTTTGGCTACAGGTGAGTTGGATTACCTGTCCACCTTTCCGCTTTCTCTGGTAACTTTCGGAAATCTTTGACACCCAAAATCTACGAGGCCAATTTCACCAGACAGTAGCGACAATGGGAGTCTCATATGATATGATAGTTTTATAATCAGTCTTATTTCAGCAGTGACGGTACACTGTGTAGAGGTATTGTAAATCTAGTAATTAATCATACATGTTTATGCAAACATCTTAACACTCAAAAAAAAAAGAGAAACCTAACACAGCTGAGATGAAAGAAAATATCTGCCCAACACATTAATTGGAAGACACAGCAGGTGTTAACATCCCTTTCAAGTCAGAAATATACCTGGGTGAACACTTTGTCGCACCTGGACACAGGTGTGTGTTCATGGTCATCCCCTGGTCTCAAGACATGTTATTTACCTTTATATTTCCATACAGGCAGAGCAGACCTAGAGAGTGGATGTTATAAAACCCTAAAGATAATTATTATATATATATCAGAATATAATCACAGATTCTGACAGAATAGTTAAATTCTCAAAACTACACATTTAGGTATTTCATTATTATAGTATATTATAAAAAAGTTTACTCTCTGTAGGGACTTATAATACAGGTCTATCCCTGCTCATTAACTGCATTTATGAAGTATCCTAATCTATCTTTAAAGATATATATGTACAGCTAATAAATTATTTTTGTCGTTGATGTTTTATTACCCGGCAGCTATTGATTTAAGTCTACTTGTTCTAGGATAACAACGGGCAAACACTGAATATTAATTACATGATATATTCTATTGATGAGGAATTTGTTCATAATCAGAAAGGAAAACATAGCACGTGGAGAGTATTGCCCTTTGTGGTAGTAACATTTGTCTATATTGATCCCTGAAATGGTCTTACCAACCATACAAATTTCCATAGAAATTGAAGTAACATCATAAACTGATGTCGCATCATAGTCTCAGTATAAAGTAAAAAGTATAAAACGATGGTCCTGTCTTAGAAGGAAAACAATCTATAACCTTTCTATTTTATCATAGATATTGGAATGTCAGCTGATTAATTTGACTCCTTTCAGTGTAATGATAGAGGTTAATCAAAACACTGCCCTCTGTTTAAAGTTTTGTAGGTGCCAATTTTTTTATTTGTCTTGCTAAACATTATATGTTCCTTTTCCTCTATCTTTGTCCCTGGTGTATCACTGTGGCCCCTTGGGATCTGTCCATTCTATTATCACTGATTGTATCAGTCTTTTTCCTTTCATATTATTTGACCTTTGCTTTGTCCCCATATCATCTCGTTTCCAGATTTAATTTCCCTTCAGATGTGCAGGATCATGTGGACAAAGGTTATAATGAATATCCCCATTGGGGTCTGTTTATCTTTTCCAAATCAGACACCTACATGTATTTTATGTTGCAATACATTGTCAATTAGACTTACCTTCCTTCAGAGTCTGGCAGTTCAGGTTGAGCACCACTTTCAAGCAATACCATCACGATCTACAAAACAGAAAAATAATAAAAACATTGATATCACTATTTGAAATTAAAAAAGGACTACAGTAGAAGTGTTATTACACATACATTGTATCAACACCTCTTGGGTCTGTAGAAGTGTTATCACACATGTTAACATCTCTCAAGTATGTGTTAATGTTATTACACATGTCATCATCTCTCAGGTCTGTGTTAATGTTATTACACATGTCATCATCTCTCAGGTCTGTGTTAGTGTTATTACACATGTCATCATCTCTCAGGTCTGTGTTAGTGTTATTACACATGTCAACATCTCTCAGACCTGTAGAAGTGTTATTACACATGTCAACATCTTTCAGACCTGTGTTAGTGTTATTACACATGTCAACATCTCTCAGACCTGTAGAAGTGTTATATCACATGTCAACATCTTTCAGACCTGTGTTAGTGTTATTACACATGTCAACATCTTTCAGACCTGTAGAAGTGTTATATCACATGTCATCATCTCTCAGGCCTGTAGAAGTGTTATAACACATGTCATCATCTCTCAGGCCTGTAGAAGTGTTATTACACATGTCAACCTCTCTCAGGCCTGTATAAGTGTTACAACAGATGTTAAAATCTCTCAGGTCTATATAAGTGTTGAAATACACATCAAAACCTCTCAGAGCTGAGATTTTTAAAGAATCTGATATCTAAGATATGATATCAATACTAACTGGCCCGTGTTCCTGGAAACTTGCTGCGTGTAGAGGGGTCCACAATGTACCTTTGTTCTGACAGTTGGGGTCTGAAACAGTTAATCATGTATCAAAATTAAGGCATCCTGCTAATTCCAATGAATCTGTGCAATACTGCCTAATAAACAGTACTACAAGAGACTGCTTTGATTTTCCAAAAAGGTAGGTAAATGTCTAATGTAAAATATATGTTGATAAGCTAACACCTTCCATTACACTGAATGTGCCAGGCATTAAATAAAAATAGTTCAAATAAAATCAGGTCCAAATTCAATATCAAAACAACTTTATCCAAGTTTTAAATTGTCCAAATACTTTAGGCAGTTTTCTTCCTATTAAATATCAGAATAACACAGACATATATATTAGGTTAAAGTGCTGGTATAAATAGTTTTTATTTAAAATAATATTATAATACTGTAGTACATGTTAGATTTGAATCTAGAATCCTACATTTTGTAACTTACCACATCCTTTGGCAAGTAAAGTCATCACAATTTCTCTTATTCCCCAGAAACATGCTGAAACAAAGCAACTGATAAGCTTTAAAACATATCTAATACCAATCAAACTAATTAACTAATAAAACTAAGACTTATACCCCTGCTCCCTGTCATTTGCAAAATACAGTTCTATAGTGTACTGACACAGTCATTTGAATATATTTACAAATTTACAATAAATGATACCATGGAACAGTTGCTATGGCAACCAAATGTTTTTGGGAATGTTGCATGTACATCCCCACATGGTTGCTATCATCACAATATGTAATTTCATTGAACTTGACCCACTAGTTTTGGTGGAGTTGTCCTGACAAAAATTTTGATGAAAAATCCCATTTTATAATTACCTGTTACTGAGGCAACCACACATTTTTTGTTTAAAAAGGGATGCATGCACATTTCCACCTTGTAATTAATATTTGTGAGTTATAAAAATGAAACTGGTACATTTGTTTAGGAGAACTTTCCTGACAAAATTTTCAAACAAAATCCTATTTACATGTATACTGACTGGTTACCATGGCAACCAATACTTTGCTGGGAAAAAGAAAGATTGCTTGCACATCTACACATGGTCCCCAACATTCCTGCTTAGTTTCATTGAAATTGATTCAGTAGTATAGGAGGAGCTATCTGGACAAAAATTTTCTATGCACAGATGGACAGACAAGCTAACCTTGTTGCAGGAGGTACAATAATCAGAAAGTGTGACCAGTAAACAAAGCTTGACCTTGACTTTATTACTTGACCTTGACTTTATTACTTGACCTTACAATACCTATATTCTTTATAGCTTGACATTACATGCACTGTACAATACATATATATATATATATATATATATATATATATATATATATATATATATATATAACTTGATATAACCTACATATATATATATATATATATATACATAACTGGACATTACCTGCAATGGTTATATACATTGTAACTTAACAGAAAACATAACGTGATCTTACCTATACATAGCATGACCTTTCATTTTTGTATCTATATATAGTTTGACCTTACCTACAGTATTTATCGTGACCTTACCAATATAGAGCTTGAACTTACCTACAGAATACACAACATTACTTAACTATACTGTAAATGCATTTCTTGAAGCTTGACCTAACATATATATAACATGACCTTATCTATATATAGCATGACCTTACCAATACAATGTATAGCTTGACCTTACCTATATATAGCTGACTTTGCATGACCTCCGGCCCATTGCCCTCCACCCTAATGTTCTCTGTGAGGAACCTCTCCACAAGCTGAGAAAAGACAATCAAATAGATGTAACAACACTGCAAAAACCTGAACTATTGAGCGATACTGTGATGGTCAATTACAGTGTAGTACAATCTATCTAAAAACAACATATTGTTTTAAAATTCCCTATTAATATACAAATATCTGTGATTTACATATGTTACTACAATATAAATCGTACTCATAAAATTGCATCTCCCTGAAGAACTAGGGTAATAACTAAATCACAAGGATTTTTCATACACTTACTAAGCATGCCATTCAACATTTGGTATTTTCTCATATAAATACATTACATATTTGATAATCAACAATGATCAAGTCAAGATCATTTACAATTTTATATTCTATGATGCAGATGATAGCATTTACTATTTAAGACATGGAAGATGATAATTAAAATCTAGCTTATGAAATATTGATAAACCGATATGCTATGAATAGGATGGAAATTATTTTAGCCTCATCTTGACAAACATATATATTTTTTAAATAATTTTAAAACAGCTGCCCATATATAATTGTTGTGACAGAAATCTAATGATATTGACCTTGTTAGTTACAGATGAGCCTCGATAATTTTAAAAGTTGCTCTATTCCCTGTGCTATCCAGTCAGAATTTAGAATAATCTAGTGACCATCTGCCTTGTTGTTTTTCTGTATCTAGTCAGCGTTAAGAGTAATCTAGTCACCATCTGCCTTGTTGTTTTTCTGTATCTAGTCAGTGTTAAGAGTAATCGAGTGACCATCTGCCTTGTTGTTTTTCTGTATCTAGTCAGCGTTAAGAATAATCTAGTCACCATCTGCCTTGTTGTTTTTCTGTATCTAGTCAGCGTTAAGTGTAATCTAGTCACCACCTTCCTGGTTGTTGTTTTTGAATCCTTGCTGTTTTGTATCTATTTACTGTTTGGAATAATCTAGACACCATCTAGTGGCTATTTTGTATCAATGGTTGGGAGTACTTCATATGCTAGTCAGCATCTAGTTGGTTTTTTTTATCCAGTCAGTGTTTAGATTAATCTAGTCACTATCTTCCTGGTTGTTGTTCTATATCCAGTCAGTAATTAGATTAATCTAATCACCATCTTCCTGGTTGTTGTTCTATAACCCATCAGTGTTTAGATTAATCTAGTCAACATCTGCCTGATTGTTGTTCTATATCCCGTCAGTAATTAGATTAATGTAGTCACCATCTGCCTGATTGTTGTTCTGTATCCAGTCAGTAATTAGATTAATGTAGTCACCATCTGCCTGATTGCTGTTCTGTATCCAGTACAGAGAAATATATAGGCAGCAATAAATTTCACAAGTCTTGCCATAACCATTCAGTCACTCAAATCTGATTAAGATGTTGATGCTTATAATCTGTAAAATATTTAACTAGCCACCAGTAGCATAAGACGAGGAAGCAGTTAGCAAACTGACAATATAAAATGCATTCTTCTTTGAAGGGAGGTAAGGTTTTAGAGGGCAGGAGGACAAAATCAATGTGTTAAAAAGGCATTTATTTCTGGAAGGAGTTTAAGGTTGAATTAGGTGAATGTGAGGGAGACATGTTTTGTACATAATTTCTTCTAAAATTCAACAACATAAAATTGAACTTCCGAACTCTGAAGTAATTACGTGCATAATACTGATAGATAACAGCAGAAATAAAAACAAAATTAATGAGAAACAAAAAAATCCAAACATTTGAGGAAGTTTAAAATATCAATATCAATGTATCATATCAATAAATAAACTTAAGAAATGACCAATTCATCTGAAACTGCAATACATATGACTTTCCCATCAAGAAACCAATGTCTGGTTAATAAGCCCACATTTGTATATTGCTGTTTAGTAGAATTAAAAACTTAAAACATTTTTTTTATCCTGCATTTATTTCATCCCTGGACTCTGAGTAAGAATTGGTGCACTACATATATTCCAAGGCTTTTTTGATGAAAAATAAGGTTAATTGATCTGTATTGATGAGGGACTGAAGAAACTTTGTGTGAGATTGTAATACATGTACATGTACCTTAGCTAAAATTAAACATACATTTGCATTGACTTTCATTACATCTAAGTGTTTGACCAAACCCTTTTTCATGTGATACTGAACAGAAATTTCATAAAGAATAAGGAAAATTAGCATACAATTCAGATAAACCATAGGTCTAGCAGACAGTGACGTCTTTACTGCTTGTGACAATTTTTGTTTCATATGGCAAAAATCAAAAGTTAAATAAAAGTTTGTCCTTAGAAATACATGAAATTTTAATTAAACATATAAAATGCAATTCCATACATAAACTTCCTAAGTAACAGGTAGTATATAATGGCCTTATATCAGATTTCATTAGTACCAGGTATGTGTACCAGGCCTACTCAATTTGGTATATATAACTTTTTTTCATTTTATCATTATTTGTTATCAGAACACTCTACTACCTTTCAATAAATTTGAGCACTTATCTCAAGTGTACATGATGTACACATATATGTTATTATAAATAAGATTTGTGTGAATTAAAACACATGTTAATGTGTGTGTGTACCACACCTGTGATGTTATGTGGTGTAATATATATGTGTAATACACTTGTGTAATTAGTTGGTCTGACATAACAAGCTTTTGGAATCACTAATTGCTAACTTAGACATCACCAGAAAATGTGTATGTCCTGATTACTGGTACTTAACAATGTGACTATCATATTCTGTCTACAAGCCATGCAGCAAAATGACTATTGTTGTAATACAGAGCACTGGTAGACCTAAGAAATGTAAGCAATGTGTTATAACTTATTATCAATATATTTGAATAAAAATTTATTCAGACAAAGTAAGTAAATTATACATTGAGTACATCCAATTTACATTATGGTCCAAAGAGGGACATGTATAATTCAGAATAGAATAATTTGAACTACATTGTACATGTACAGTGTTCAAACTGCGAAGTCATAGCTCAATTTACCACTAATTAAACAATCAGATTCTGGTTCAGATTCCGCTGTATAATTTTTACAGGGACGTATTATACGTCCCTGCTTTTTATAACAAATAATGAAGTTTGTAGTTTCCATTTTGAAAACATGTTATATCTCATAATTATCAATAAACTACATAAGAAAAAAAAATAAATATGCAATATTTCATACAAAAATGTGAAAATTTATTTTTGATTTATGGCTTTTATTTTCATGTCCACTTGTATTTGTTCCAAAGTTAACAACAAATGATGTCTTTGTGGAGTTACTTATCCCAGAACCATGTAATTACTATGTCATTATGCCATCACCATTCACATCTGTCTGACACCCCTATATACAAACCTTTCATCCTCGGTACCAAATGAGTATAACACACCTAAAGGACTCCATGAAGTCTCTGTTGTCTGTGGTATTAAAGTGCAACAACGTGTCAACAACAGCCAAAAGCAACTACAAATGAACTCAACTTGGCTACAATAATTAGGATTTAACCCACCTTGAAATCGTGTCTATCCAAAGCCCAATGCTTACAGAAAAAAGCGAAGAAGAGAAGTGAGACAATATTATAATACAGGTAATAAAGTAAACAGCGAAGAGGACAAAGACAACAAACAAACCAGACTGATCTGTTTCCTAGCTGATATATCTTATTTATTTAGTAAAGATTTGAAAGGAAATTCTAAAAAGATCCTCGGAAATCTTTCTAAATGTTAAACTACAAATTAAATGAATATGAGACAAACGGAGTCAAATAGTAATTATGATATCATAACATAGAAATATGACGGCAATGTATATATTTTATAATAAAAAGATCTGCCATTAATTTGAAATGATACAATCAGATCAAAAGTTTTTTTTGTTATGTATGCATTAATTCAAAATCCTACTAGTGAACCAATTTTTAATAAACCAGTTTTCAAACATATTTCTATGTTAAAACATTGTGAAAAACAAAATTTGCATGTCCATAAGAGTAGGTCTGGTGTATATTGTATTGAAAGATAAATGGGAAGTTACAGTTTGGTAAATGTGTTGATACATGGTAGCATTAAATGCTCGAGATTCCACTTTGCAGCCAACACAAGTGAACACCAATATGAAGACAGTGATCACAATTAACTTTTCCTATAAAAGGTTTCACTATTAATAATTTTGCATGATGATTTTTACTTGATACATTCTTATTTCTCCATCCTTCAAAATTGCATGTTTACAGACACTCCTTCCTACAATTCAGCTGGTTCCACATGAAGTTAACCAATTTTAAATATTTCTGGCACATCGAGAGCCCTGAATACATATTACTGAGACCTATTTATGAATATGTCTTCTGTACTACATCTTTTTGGCATTACATTTGTACCACTCAGATTCAGTTCTGTTCATATCAGGTTTACTACACATGTATGCAGAATTGCATGCGAGATGATTTCAGGTATAGGCTGAGGAGAGCTCTTTCATAACTATTTTACACGGTAAAATACTACAATGATGTTACAATAAGATCATTCACTAATCCAATCGAGTAATGAACCTCGGGAACGGACGATAACACATGCATGATCGGTGTGCAGTTGTTCATTTGCAGAATTTCAAACTAGCAAATCATAGGGAAAATTCATAATCGTAACAAAGTTAGAATTTGACATAAGGCACGGATTTTCATACCGAAATGCTAGGTAATGTTTTACAAACAATGCAAAGTGTTAACATTACCAGGAATGGCATGTTCCATGTAAATATTTTAAAGGAGATATGACTATTTATTTCACAAGTGAATTTGGTAAATGAATATATATATATCTTTTATCGCAAAGATTTGAGTCCAAGTAAGATTCTGAGGTTGGCAATGTAAACAAACGCATCCGATTCTGACGAGGTCAGAACTACACTTACAAACAAAATTGTAAAACGGCCATATTGTATTTTCATCTTACCTTGTCATCTCCTTGTTTTGCAAGAGTAGATAGTTGTTCGAAAGGAACTTGGGCCGTGCGAAGATGCGTTTGTAAATCTCTAAGGACATTAAATTCTTCGTCGGCCATGATTAAGCGCGTAAATGAGTATGAATATGATCAGTATCACAAAAACGTTCCGTTTTGCAGTTTGTAATTTTAAAGCCGGAATATGTTACATATCCGGTAAAGGCCTATGCCGTCCTCTCTCCATTGTTTTAAAACAATATTTGGTCATATTTAGCATACTTGCCAAATGAAATGTGCTTTAGATATATATGATTATTTTGAAGAAGAAGACAGGAAGCGGGAGTTTCTGCTTCTACGTTGTAAGACCATATCATAAAATTTCTTCTCACAGAGAGTATAGGAAGTGTGGAACAACCTACCCGAACATGTAATTAATGTCCTTAACACCAGCACTTTTAAAACCCGTCTGGAGAAGCTATTGAAACACCAGGAAATCTACTACAACTACAGAGCTGACGTAAACAACATGATGATAGGAAGTGACAGACCAACATGTACATTTTATTACACGTTCCATACATGTGCATATATATGCCAAGTCCCTGTGGGGCCTTCTGATCACTCAGAGTACTGCCCTTCGATTCACTGTAGTCAGGTGGTACTCATTCTCTTGATTAACTGACGATGCCGAAAGAGGTGAATAATCCAGTTGTTTCGTCTCCTATTGTGAATTTTCCATTTCTGGATAGCCATATTTTTCAAAATCCAAGCTATGGTGTTTACATGTCGCTTTTGGTCCCGTATTCAAGGGCCTGTTCCCATTATCGCGATTTTCATGCAAGATGTTGTCAACTAACGGACAAACTCATAACACAGGGTTTCAAAAAATGCAGGTTGATTAAATTTATGGGAAAGTTTTACGGTCGTCGAAATGAATTCATTGAGAAATATTCTATTTCTTTGTGCGATATCTAGCTGGGTATGTTTTATGCTCTTTAGTTTGCCTGTTGACTACGTTGGTGTAAACCTTGTTCTTATTTGAGCATTATTGTGGCGTTGTCGCGGTGTTATTTTTTTGCCACCCTATCACGCTGGTATTTCAATGCCACCCTGTGCGATGTTATTATTCTGCCACCTTGCCGTGGAGTTAATTCCTTACCATCAAGTCATGGTGGTCTTTCCCTGCCACCCTATTAGGGTGGTATTTCCTTGCCACCCTATGGTGGTGGTATTTCTCTGCCACCCTATCACGATGGTATTTCCCTGCCACCCTGTGATGGTGGTATTTCACTGCCACCCTATCACGGTGATATTTCTCTGCCAGCCTATCAGGGTGGTATTTCCTTGCCACCCCATCACGGTGGTATTTCCCTGCCACCCTGTGGCGATTGTATTTCCCTGCCACCCTGTGGTGATGGTATTTCTTTGCCACACTATCACGGTGGTATTTCCCTTCCACCCTATCAGGGTGGTATTTCCTTGCCACCATATCACGGTGATATTTCTCTGCCATCCTATCACGGTGGTATTTCTCTGCCACCCTATCACAGTGGCATTTCCCTGTCACCATATCACAGTGGCATTTCCCTGTCACCATATCACGGTGGTATTTCCTTGCCACCTTATTAAGGTGGTATTTCCCTGTTAGCCTGTGGCGATGTTATTTCCTTGATACCCTGCCCTTGCGGTATTTCCCTGCCACCCTATCACGTTGTTATTTCCCTGCCGAACTTTCACGGTGGTATTTCCCTGCCACTCTATCACGTTGTCATTTCTCTGCCACCCTATCACGTTGTTATTTCCCTGCCACTCTTTCACGGTGGTATTTCTCTGCCACCTTATCACGGTGGTATTTCCTTGCCACCTTATTAAGGTGGTATTTCCCTGTCAGCCTGTGGCGATGTTATTTCCTTGATACCCTGCCCTTGCGGTATTTCTCTGCCACCCTATCACGTTGTTATTTCCTTGCCGCCCTTTCACGGTGGTATTTCCTTGCCACTCTGCCACGGCTGTATTTCTCTTCTACCCTGTTTCATTAGATTATTGATCTTTATAAGTGTTATATTTCTCATTATTATTTGGATTTCGGGATTAAAAAAGTGGGGGAAACTAAACAGACAAACAAAACAAAACAAAAAACGAAATGGGCCATGTGACTTAGACTGACCTCATTCTCTAGAATGTTTTGTTGTAAAAGAAGTACGAAGATTGTGAATTTTGATATTTTGGAAACATCTGGTTCTAGAAGATAGCAGACGAATACTGTAAGATAAGTCTTAGCTAAAAGTATGGCCATCAAGCCAATCATCCCATGGCTATGGCAGTCTTCATCGTCAATACTCTGGGATGACATCTGTGTAATCAAAATAATGGACTTTGCCAAGAAACACCGTTTAAACAAACTAGTGTATAACCCCCAATGAAAAATGCTGAGGGTTCACGCACTTATATATTCTGTTACCTTATCAAAGGTTCATAAAACGTCAGTACTAATTTAGATGCTTGGGCTGAGGTTTAGCGGAAAAAGAAGTCCATATTTAGTTCTCGGAGAGGAAAGGTAGAGCCACTTATGGTAAAGCGAGGAAACTCTACATCGGTTAAGACAGTGAATGTAAGATCTATAGCTGACGTAGTCTCCTGTATGGAAAGTAAAGAGCGTTTAGTTTGGAATGGGTTTTAAATCAAAAAATCTTTTTTGTTTTCATTTTATTTTTGGTTACATTAAGGTCGAATCATGGGGTTATACGCCGTACCTCTTTGTATGTAAAAGGTGCTGTTAACTTGTGTGCAAAGTGTGTGTGTGTAATTTGTACCTTCACACGAGTAGATGCAAACATTAAAAAATAAAAATTCGACATTGCCCTGCTTTATGATATTGATTATATCAATGAATAAGTCTTTTCAAACAATTTTCAAATTATTTTAAAATTAATAATGATTTTTTTTCAGTTTCGCATTACATCTGGGAAAAAACTGTTGTGGGAAACAGTATTAAACAGACGACCTTTATCTTATCTTGATGCACTAATAACCTTCGTGAACCCGTCCGCAGGGGACGGCAATGGTTGGCACACCTTCGATTGTATCTAAATAATATATATATATCGATATACATGCTATATTATACAGGGCGTTTGTTTCCGTCCCCTGTGTCTTTGACCCGCCTTTCCGAGCAGATATAACAAAGGCGTCACCTTAGTTAGTGTAGCGCTTCTAAAGTTCAGACGATCGAAATGTTTCTCGCCATTTTTATTGCTGTTGTCTGCGCTAGTGTAGAAGGTTCTTCTTCTAATTATAATACTTTCATCTTTTGTCTGGTCATTTGAATTAATGTTTGACATTCGTACAACGACCTACTTATTCCGACATAATTTTGTTTTTGTTTTTTTTTCGCAAAACAAACGCGTTTTGTAAAGTAAATGAGTAGTAATATGAAATGAGTAAAACAGAATCTATTTTACATCATCAGCTAAGTCGCCATGGTTTCAGCGGTATGAGGAGTTTTTCACGGAGGTATTGCCTAACAATGCTACGCTGAATGCATTATGGAAAGAACATGTGGCCTCATATCAGCGACAGGTACGTATCTGATACAGAACAAGATGAGGCGTAAACGACACACAAGGTTAGTTCTCCGAAACAGTGAAACGTAAACGACACACAAGGTTAGTTCTCGGACACAACGAGGTGTAAACGACACACAAAATTAGTTTTCCGATACAATGATGTGTAAACGACACACAAAATTAGTTTCCGACACAATAAGGCGTAAACGACACACAGGGTTAGTTCTCCCCGACACAGTGAGGTGTAAACGATACACAAGGTTAGTTCTCGGACACAACGAGGTATAAACGAAACACAAGGTTAGTTCTCCCCGACACAATGAGGTGTAAACGACACACAGGGTCAGTTCTCCCCGACACAATGAGGTATAAACAACACACAATGTTAGTTCTCGGACACAATGAGGTGTAAACAGTGAGGTGTAAAAGACACACAAGGTTAGTTCTCCCCGACACAATAAGGTGTAAACGACACACAAGGTTAGTTCTCTCCGACACAATAAGGTGTAAACGACTCACAAGATACATGTAGCATACATATATGTATATTTATAAAGCATGGTGGAACATATTACCTAAATGAATAAACCGGAATTAAATACTGAAACAACGGATGAGAATGTTAGGGAATTTAAAACATTGGGCTACTTGATGAATCAAGCTGATTTGATTTCAGGAGAGAGAGATAAGCTTCTCAATTCCACACTTTGACTGCCACCTAAATCAACCGCACAGTGGAAATTCAGCTACTTCTGGTGAGTTAGACAACAGGTTATACATACAATTAAGAAATAGGTAGCTAAGTTTGTAAACAGTAATTAACAAAGTATTTATATGATAATACCAATTATTGTTTTACTGACTGTTGCGACTGAACTGATCAGAATCGTTAACTAAATCAAATGATCTGACCAAACGGAGACATTGTAAAAAGTTTACTTACCGAAATATAAGTTAATTTATGCCCAATAGTCAGAAGTCGGCTGTTTTCTTTCGTCGCTATATTGGTTCGATTGTATGTGGCGTTTGAACGTTTGAAAGAGTCAGTATTGCAAAACTTCTATACGACCATGATAAAACGGATAAACTTTCGATTTTTTACAACTTTTTTTTGTTCGATCACTTTATTTAATTTATAAAAATAAAATATTTACAATCAAATTATTTTCGTTTTGATACAAAAACAGTTTATGGAAAATAACGTTCTGGTTCCGAATTCACGTTAGCACGTCGTCTGCTTCCTGGTTCAGGGTAACAAGATGGCGGCATTGAGAGGTTTTGCATCGATGCAGAATAATGAATCGACAACAAAATGTTTGTTGATCAGAGGTATTTTCACTTTAAGAAAATGTGTTATATTAGGTAGGATTCAGTTAGAAGTGGCAAACTATGACGTGGTGACCAGTTACAACTCAAGAATTAGAAACTCATCTGGGATATTTTTATCATGTTCCAAAAATCGTTTCCTAACACAGAGTTTTACATATGTTTATCTTGTATCAAATGTTTCACCCCGACCACAGTATCATGTGTTACATAACTCCAGTAATACACAGTTACATAGTCATACTTATTTACATTGTGTAAATATGTTGGGAAATTGATGGCGTTGTAGGGTCTGTTGAAAATTGTCGACTTCTATAGTCGATGACTGTTTATGGTCTACATCCGAGTCACGCAATCACTATTTTGGAAATAAGTATATATTTCTCATTGCCATGTCTACAGTCCATAGACTACATCCGGGTGACATAAAGGTAGTGGCAGCCATGGGTGATTCCTTAACGGTAAGTACTCATACTTGCATGATGAAATCCTTTGGGCTTTGATCTGTTTGGTTTCTGATGATCGTATATCAAGCGTTTCACGCGTTATACATATCTTATAGATTAAATAGATAAGTTTACATCATGTCCAATCCCTTGTCTGCTAAATGCATAAGTTATACATAACTGCAGCAAACATTGCTGAAGTTGTTAGCTTCATCTACGTCAGGATACTTACAACTGAACCTATATTTGAACTTATTCTAGGCTGGTAACGGTATCCTGGCAACCAACGTCATCGGTGACTTATTGGAATATAGAGGTCATTCATGGAGGTGAGTCTTGAAAATTCAGCAAGAATGCCAAAGGAAATATTCTTCAAAAGGTGTGCATTGCGTTATATTGATGAAATCCTGGAAACTACTTGGAATCAAGTTTTTCTTTTGTGGACTAAATGAAACGTTGTAATATTACAAACTACACAAATACATTAAAATTTGCTGACGCACATTGTTTGAGAGTTAGCCCTCCAAACCTCACGACATCATGATATTGATACACGCAGTGAAACATAACACGAACGATGGGATTATCGGAGAATTATAAGAAAATGGCAAATATTGCTTTACTGATTTGTCTTCTATTCTCGAATTAAAGTAGAATGCATGCTTTGTTTATAACATTTCACCCAGTATTTCAACTGTATATATAAATATGTAATACAAGTATATAAAACGGTAAAGATACATTCGAAACTCGTTATCTCGAACTCTTATAACTCGAAGACCCCGTTTAATTCGATGCATTTCGTCGGTCCCTGCCTAACTTTACACAAAACATTCGAACTCATTTAAATAGAATACTCAGTTATCTCGGGATTTTTTCCATTGTTCTGCTGAGTTCGAGATAACGAGATTCGAATATGTATTTTAAAAAAATGATAGAGTATATACAAGCATTATATACTTATATATTGTTTGCATAGAAATACGTTAGATTTACGTAGATAGATAATGATGATTGGATTAACATTATCCAGAAATGTGATTTTTTTTTTCAGTATTGGCGGAGATGGCGTACTCGAAGAGGTTTTAACATTCCCAAGTAAGTCAAACATCACCCGTTCCTCCTCAGAGGAATATCACATATATCGAAGAATATTATCGACAGAATACAGTATTTCCGGTTTTTACATGTCACATGTACTTGTCCTACCACTTATGTCAAAGAGATAATATCAACTGTTTCCCTGTGTGATAAATTGCCGTGACGTAATGATGAATGATCTACTGGTTCTATCTTGCCATGTACGTGTTAAATAGTTTGTGTGATGCAGCCGCTTGCAAGTTAGCAGAAACATCACTACTAAAAAGTATCATTCTGTAGATGTCACAAACACGTTTCTTGCTTAAAGTTTTAGAGACGTGTTATTCTGAAGGTCTCCTAAAGTAGTTTGGTAAATAGCTGTGTGGAAATGAATATGTTGTTAATATAATTAATAATTTGGTAGATATCTTTGTAGAGATGTACTATTTTGTAGATCTCTTAAAGAAGTTTGGTAGATATATTTGTGGAGGAGATGTATGTGTTATGATGTAGATATCCTGAAGAAATTTGGTGGATATCTGTATGGATACTCGGAGGGAATTGCCAAGAGAAACCTGACAGGTGCTAATCTGAACGTCGCTAATCCTGGAGACGTGGCCTCGTATGTACAGTTGTAACACAACTTCCTGTAAACAAAGCAAAACTAAATATATGTTAATGTTTCTGACATTTGTTTTCCTTTAGTAGTTAAGTAAAATCTGTCAAAAGATTCAAATATGTTGTTAATATGTTAATGCAAGAATGTTCGTGAAATGTACTGGTTTAAAATGTATGTTAATTGAAGTAGAGGGTTTGAATATCATGCTGTCGACGTTTGTACTCACAATCATAGTACTGTAACTACACACTGATTTCTATACCATTATTAGGAATATGCCAGAACAAGCTCATCTCCTAGTAGCCAGAATGAAGAATAATGCTAACGTCCGTATGTCGGATGACTGGAAGGTGGTGACGATGTTTATTGGCGGAAACGATCTCTGTGACTACTGTTCTAATCCGGTAATAACACATTTAAACAACAATCTGTCACCAGATAGCGTACACAGTTAATATGAAGCCAATTCGGGCGAAAGATAAAAAGAATGGCGCCTGTTAGAACGCCATGAATATATATCCGAGAACGGTTGTAATAATATCGTTCCTCGTGTCATCATAAATATCAATTGCATGAAATACATTCTAGTACAGTCACAAGTCGATATTTCATTAACAATGATCGGCTCTCGATAAGATTTCACAAAACCGCCAATGTAGTTTTAATTGAATGAATAAAGTTTTCGTGTCGTGGAATGGACTGATGTGAAAATAGAACAACTACGGAAATTATAAATGGAAGTCAATCTTGACAACATTTTGTTTGCAACGGATTCTGCGTTTGAAATTTGGACTGTCAGGTCGAGGTCTAAGCCCTACTGTAGAAGACGAAGTTGACAAACTTGGTAACCAAGTAAATTATGGCGATAGTAACGATATTGTGGCAAAATTACATGTTTAACAATAAATTTGTTCTGTCATAATTTGATAGTTTGTAAAGTTACTTATTTTTTGTGAAGGTCTTACTTGCGGAGATAGAATGATGGTTTTAGTCTGTGAACGCAGAATTCCAAATAAACAATTTCAACAAAACGTCAAGGAAATATATATTCTGAACCTTTACCACCTATACCACATACGGTATTGTTCCCATGAAAGTATTGTCTGATTTAAATTGCAAAGGTTTGAGATAACCAGTCCAAAGAAGTCGTTCTTTCCTGCCATTTTTATCTTTTTATCTGACTAATCAACACATGCCATTAGATGTCCACTCGGTTGATATTTAAAACAAAATCTTTTGATTATGAGGAACTAAATGTCCAAAGAGTATATGAATCAAAGTTACATGCAGTCATGCTAGTCATTAACAGCAGTAATAAAGATATACTCTTTCGCAGGTTCAGTACAGTCCAGATAACTACGTAAATCACATCCGGGAAGCTTTGGACTTCCTGAAAGCCAACCTACCAAAGACATTTGTTAATGTCGTCAGTATATTTGACATAGCTCCGATTGCGTCCATGGAGAAAGGTTTCATCTGTTCTGTAGTGCACACGTAAGTATATTAAGTTCTGGTGGTAAAGTGATAATTTCGGAATGAGATCCATCAGTGATGATTTCTGTTTGTGGTTATTGTGCATAAGATAAATATTGATATACCAATACTTCGAATTTAAACATCAGGCACTATACAGGAAAACATTCTCCATGTTGATATATAGTCAGCCAAATTATTGCTGAATTATCAATTTATGAATTGTAACCACAAAGACACAAGAATGAAAATGTATAAAGTATTAGAAAAGTCCGATAATTGAAAGTCACTAATGTTATTATCTTACAGCAAATATTTCTTTGCATGCTTACTGTTTTCTAGATTCGTATGTGAGTGTGGCCAAGAGCCCACAAACGGACCAATGTTGAGGCAGGTCACGCATGCGTATCAGAGAGGTGTAGAAGATCTCATCAACAGCGGACGCTACGATACCAGTGACGATTTCACAGTTGTCGTTCAGCCATTCTATAAACACACAGAACCTCCCAAACTGGTAGGTGTTACAGGAAATATCGGCTCTTGGGGCAGCCAATTATCATCCAAATCTGGTAGGTCTCACAAGTAATCTTGCCTTTCGGAGCCCACAATTATTCACTCAAACTTGTACGTCTTACAATAATAATTGTCCTCAATAATTTTTTTAACATCGGTGTTTTGTTTTTCTGTATGATAAATAAGGCAATTATCAAGTACAAGTTGTACATCACACACCAATTAACAAAGGAGTTTAATTTCTAAGTAAAATGTGATCTTTTGCATGTGATACATGTTGGTCATCATTTCAGGACTCCACGGGGAAGATCGACATGTCCTACTTCAGCCCTGATTGTTTTCATTTTAATCACAAAGGACACTTCGCGTCAGCTATCTCCTTGTGGAACAATATGGTACGAACCTGACAATACTTCGATAATTCTATTTCCTATTTTTGTTTTTCAGCCCTACTTCATTTAATACGGAAAATTCATTCCTACTTCATTTAGTACGGAATATTCAGTCCTACTTCAATTGATATATATATTTTTTAATTTTCAAAATGTCATGAATCCTAAACCAAAACACACTGCAAGCGGAATTTTCAATGCATCACAGTGACATAATCACTATCTAGGTCCTCCCACCACTCTGACAATGAAGCCTGTATTTGGAAAGTGGTAAATTCATATTTTAATTAGCTTGGATGGGACGTTTAGCTCGATTCATCGACACGAAGAATCGCTGTATTTGAACATATTATGGAACAAAAGTCAAACAAGTGAATTACACTTTTCAATACAAATTTAGATTTGGATACAGATGAACTAAACTGCATCATACAGCTGTTTCGTCCTACTTGGTCCCATTTTTGTTTTTTAAATTTAAGGAGTCGACAGAGGAAAATCAAAATCGGGTAAATACTAGTAATTGATCGGATAATTTCAGAAGGAATGTCAAGTACATGTGAATATGCTGAACGGTGCCACAACGTGGCATGTTGATTACGGCAAAACTCGGGGACCAAAAGTTCATAAGCTGTGTCTATCACTTGAAATCTGAAAAAAAACTAAATGTATTTGAAATGTTTTTGTTACTACAGCTGGAGGCGCCATCCGTGAAACAGCAGGAATGGTATCTCAACCAACCTTTCCATTGTCCCCTTATTCAGGTACGCCTAGAAACACCACGTAATTACTAAACTAACAGAAACTACGACGGTCTTTACTTATTTAGATACTCGTCGCTAAAAAGTTTGTAAGAGACAAACTGTACGAGGTTTTAGCAAGAATTCTAACAAAACATCATTACGATTAGCTGAAATGTGTGTCCTAAGAAACAAACCAAGAAAAATTGTACAAGAATTGGTATGGAACTTCTAAAACTACTTTTATTTAAACAGGTGCTTATATAGTTTTTTATTTTCGAAAAGTGTTCTTTCTCGTCAACAATGCTGTATTAAAATATATGCATATATGACCTCCCTGCCTAAGGACGTAACAATGATAAAATAAATTCCTATGGCAATCCGAAATATTACTTCTTCCATTACCTTTAACGTCACGTATTCTTCCTTATTTCAGTCTTACAATCCTTCTGGGTTCTTCACTACGTACAAAAACTGATTCGTTCCTCAGAATGTTTGACTTCATGAAATAAAATATTTTATGGGCTATTGTATTTGCCTTCTTCGTGGAATAAGCTGCGTTCTTGAACACTATTTTAGCGGATCGGCATTACTACCTGACAAGAATTTTAAAAAATGTAAACATGTCAACACTGTCTCAATTCAAACGATATATCGATGATACGTGGGTGAAAATCAGATTTACACTCGTCTGAAACTCATGGACAGGTGAATGATAATAAGACCAGGTGTTCTGGAAGGGTAAACATCATCTGCTTCATCGCTGACCCTCGCCATGTATACATATATATGTGACATATGAGGAGTATGTTTACATACAGGATACCTACAACTGACTTGTTACATAGTGGAACTAACATCAGTTTTCTTTTCATATCGGATTCACAACGAAACCACTGGACGGATGTCCAAATAGAACAACCACCATGTTTATATTTTTACAGAGATAAAATGAATAGAGTCGCTATGCAGATGGATATTCGATGAAACCAACTGCTATTACGACAGGCGTAAAAACGATGTTGTCCGTGCCCTTCTTCAGATGATGTTCATGTTACGCATTCGTATAAAAGAAAAGACCTGTCTCAGAAAATTTACAGTAAATCTATTGTAGCGTACCGGAATATTTTTGAAATATAATAACATAAGTCTTACTTTTGAAACAATATGCATATCAAAAGTTATAGACAATCTACAAACTGTAGTTTTGTCCATACATTATAGTTACTTTGAATTTTTTATTACGTGAGTGGTAAAAATATCTAAAATTTGTGTTCATTTTCTATGAGTTTTTATGAAACTCGAAGTTGTTTTTTCTTGTTTTGAAATGTGTATTGCAATGATAAATAAGGTAGTTATGCGACAAAACACACTGTTTAATTGTTTCAAGGATTGGAACACTGAAGGACCTAACGAGGACACATTTATTATGACGAGATGAAAGGATCTATTGTTAACTAAGACCTGAAGAAAACATGATACGCAAAGACAATACAGAGTAAAACTTTATTGATAAACGATTAACATATAATCAAGCTGAATTCAAGCTTGTTGCTAAATATGGACCGGTTCTGACTCCCTGTGAAAGAAAATGAAATATTTCAAGAGATCAACAAACACCTTTCTTCACCAAAATTATTTTAGATACAATTCAACCAGATAATAGCATTCATTATATTGACCTACATATTCCGTAAAGTATTATTAGTAGGTGCAAATTTGTAATGATAGCATTCGTATACTCTACAACATATCGGGATATTTTTACTCCGTTGTCGTCTGAATAAAGCTGTGTACTATCTTATAATGGTGTTATTGACAGTTATTCAATACAATTAAACAATTTTATATGGAGAATTACATGTAATATATAATAGTATTTGTAGTTCAGATATGATAATTGTTTTCTACTATCCTGAAAGATACATATGGAATTCAAACCGTCTCGTGACTCCCTCGAAATATACATTGTATATCAGTTGTAATTCAATCGATTGGTAAAATTACAACAATTCGCAATAAAGTTCATTTAAGTATTCTAAACACGAAAACTACGGTGTGTAGCGCTGTTCACTATGTGTATATATATATGTGTGTGTGTATTTGTATATGTATATTACCAGTGTCTGTATTCCAGGGCAGTAGAAAGGTTCGTTCAAATGCCATTCTTGCTTCTTCTCTGAATAACTCTCAACCTGCAACCAACAAAAGATATACTTATCTTAGTCCAAAAACTAAAAATTGTTATTACCGTTTTTCATGTCAAATTCTTTCAATTTTTCAGAATGTACTGTAATCACATCCATTTTAGGTAATTCTAAAATCAGAGAATAAGTATTTTACAAATTGTTTTTAAAAAAGTATTACGTTTTTTCCTTTGTCATTGTCATTGAAGATTCAGAATCCCTGTTAATGACAATTTGATTTGAACCCGTGTTAATGATTTTTTGATTAGCAAGCATATTGGCGAAACGGTCCACGCTGTATCTTTTTATATATATCTTCTCTTTCACGAGAATATTATTTTTTATTAATGAAAATAAGTTGTTTCAAATACGGAAGAAAAGATAGAATATTTAAAAAAAGAAAAAAAATATATGTGGCATTGCTCATTTGTTGGTCTTTGTGCAAAATAATACTCCAAATAATGTTTCATGACTTTTTATGTTGATATAAGTGAATTATAACAATTTACTGTGGGTCAGTGTGAAACTTCTCCTTTGTTCATATTTCCTTAAGTTGACTGTCCATGATATTTCCAGACCGTTTCGAATCTATGTTCATTTCCGAATGTTATAAAGCAAAGGCTTCATTCAACTGTCAATCATTTTTATGAACAATACCAAGTAATCAATTGATGAGCTTCAATCTGTAGCATGACAACTTTTGACAGAAATAATATGGAAGAGTATATAAACACTGTTTTATATCGGTCATTAAAACGTAAAAACGGAAGACATGTATTTCTACGGACACCGAGATATTTCTGTGTGATTGTGGTTTGTTGCATTGACATCACGCTTTACAGTTCTAAAGTAACATTTTAGTTGATTTGTTTCTAGTGTTTTTTGTTTCATTGGATTCATCTTGGACTGTTTGAAGCTCAGAGGAAAAATTATACATACCACATGTAAGTACCTACTGAACTGTGTTTTCCGATATGAGTGGTATTATTTTGCAGAACGTCCTAACAATAGCTTTAGTCATTTAAAGACAGGGTGCTGGTGTGAACACAAAGACACTTAACTTACGCTGACAGAGCAAGCTAACTAATGCCATTAGTGTTTGGAGTACTTTAGGGAATGTCCCTGAAGTCGATGACATCTTACGGTCATCGTGTCTAACTTACTTGGAATATTCGATTTTAAACAGCTACATACTGTAAATCACTTAGATTTAGCGATTAGTAAATTTCGCAAACTTACCCCTACAGACATTTTCGCGAATACATGGTTTCACGAACGATGATCAAGAAATGACTTTAAAATTGCGAATGATGAGCTATCAGAGCCTGCCATCCAGAGTTATTTAATTACAAAAAGAATAACGAGGGTTTTGAATTTGCGATTATCTCTCCTCGTGTAAATAAATGCCACGCGAAATGTAAATGATTTACAGTAACCTGTATATCCGGTTAGCGCCCCCTATAGTGCCATGTCAACTAACGATACGAAAGCCAAATGACAATTTCATTTCATACAAATTTGAAAATATCTGACCATATTGTTCCATAGAGATAGGGCAGATGCAGCATGCCCCTTGGCGTTGAAGTGGAAACAATCCGGAGAGAAATAGGTCAGGTCTATTTCGCCAGACTGAAATCACAAATTTGTGTTAAACAGGTAACGTAAGTCAGAACAACGTCGTAAAATATCAATAAATTATACAGGAAAGATATTTCAGGTTGAACACTGATTGATATGATCCATAAAAACAGGTGTCATGCTAGCTGGCTACCTTTTAGACGAGGGAGTATGTTATAGGCAGTTAGGAATTATTAACTACTTTCCGTGACATCTTAACGCATTCACTATCCGTTTTGTGGTAATGGAAATTTGTCATAAATGTGATCGGAGATGATAGCCCTGCAAGGTTTCAGAGTAAAAATAGTAGTCATATCCCTTTAATTTATTACGCATACGAATAAATGTTGAATAGAAATAGTTTGAGGTAATGTACACCAGCTTTCAAATTATTCATATAAAGACATCCGGGGTCAATGTGTATTTACATACCTCCGTGCTTTTTGGTGGGACGGTGTTACTAAAGAAGGGCTGGATAACAGCGGTGAAGTCATCTCGTGTATCGTATCTGCCGCTACTGATAAGAAGGGTGGTTTCCATCTGGTACGCAACACTTGCATCATATAACAAGTCTGCATTACCTTTGTCCTTACCACAGGCACAGACGAGGCTGCAATGGGGATCAGAAATTAAAAGTAACAGTTTTTTTGAAATGAGGAAAGAAAATATAGATAATAAAATACAAAATTAGAAAATGAACTATACGTGAAACAAAGGAAGACAATGTGTAATAGACGATGCATATTAACGTGAAGCATTTCAGCTTTACATATTAATAAAGAAAGCATTGCTCCTTACAAAAAATGTTATAAATATTGGAGCGGTTTTTATAAAGGATGTGAATTATACAAATCATGTTGCTGTACAAATAGCTTTTCATGTGACATAAATTCGAAAGTTACAAATTGTGTTGTTATCACAAATTGTGTGGTGAACGTGTATTAGTGTAATAATAATAATAATAATAAATTCGCGAAGAAAGTCTATATTTAAAACACCGACATACACGTAGCAAATTAACTATTTTTCCTTAAATCTTAAAACTGAATTCCAGTAGGAAACTACATATAATACATCAATATTGTATCGTGTAGAAAATGGAAAATACATTGTTGTTACAAAATATCATTTGCAATACTAGCACATAAAACTGTATGTGAACACTTATAGAGAACTTTTGTTTTGCATGTTCCTTACAGAAACCTTAAGAGATGCTATGGGTCTGATATGCGAGGATCTGGAAAGTCAAGAAAACCAAAAAACAAACAAAAAACGAGACAATAAAACTACTAACAAATGGGAGGAAACATATATACATTTGTATATAGAGAGGGAGACTATGTGGATTTTAAATACCCGGTACAGGACAGTTTTTTTTAGTACGGCACGTATGCATGACATACATCACATCCCAGAAAAAATATCGAAACTCTATTAAAATAAACGAACTTACGTGTGGGCAAGGTTACAAAAGAAACCGCCGTCCATAGCCGCGATCGGTGCGATGTCGAAGATTAGAACGACATTCACGAATGTACGTGCAAGGTTGTCGTGAAGAATATCCAGTGCCTCGGCAATGTGGTTGGCGTAGTTAGCGGCACTAAATTTAACCTAGGGTGAAGGTCACAATTACTATTCATAGAAAAAATTGTCCGCTATCGGCCTGCTCCATTCCATGGGGGTATTTTGATATGTTTTAATCATGTCATGGTTTCAGGATTGTAGTCTAAGATAAAGGTCATCGATGCTATTTTTAGAAAATCTTTGGCAGCAATTTAGCGGCTTCATTTCTTGAAGGATGTTTGTTTTAAAAAAAACAATGCTATTATTTACTTTTATTAAATGACGGTTAACAGAGTATTTTCAAATTTAATTTTAGACTGCTTCTGAAAGATTCGGATGAATAACTTACTGGGTCAATACAGAACTCGCACATGTCGTTACCACCTATGAACAGTGTCACCAGTTTCCAGTCTGTTGCGGCGTTGATATTAGGATCTGCATTGATTCTACTGACTAACATCCTGGCCTGGTCAGGCAAGTCTCTATAAGAAAACAATCAACTTTGTGTTATATGATACAACTGAAAAGCTATCATTTATCAAATATATTTCTATAATATTTACATATATTTCTGTTGTTACATCATTATTCAGTTCGCCATTATTTAGGAAATCGGGTGGCCCAGTGGTTGTGCGATCGACATTGCCTTTGGCGTCAAATTCCTCAAATTGGTATGTGGTCACCTGACCGACCACGTGGATTTCCTCCGTTATTCCGCTTTCCTCCCAATGCCAGACCCAATAAAGGTCAAAGAAGTGGATCACTTGTTTCTATGACAACCCAGGTTGTCATTTATTCACGGAGCAATGTTGATCATTTACTTAACCAAATTATGTAAGGTAAATAAGATATCTAACTTATTAATTATATATTCTATTTTAAAAAATATATATCTTATTTAGTTAAGAACATATATTTTTAGTTCGTAAGACATCTAATATCTTATTTATTAAATTAGATAATTACCTCATTATATTTTCTTTTTAAGATATCTGATTTGTTGAATGAAATATTTTATTATCATTACTGGATCGAATACATAAACATATGAATAATAAATCACTTGTCTTGTATATTTCACAATTGATGTAAAATAAATACAGTTTATATTTCTGATTTCAATATCCTGACATATTTGTCATCTTGTTTGTCACTGATAATAAGTGTACTGGGTCCGAATTGTAAACGAATTCTACCAAGATCCGTATGTTTAATATATTCAATTTTATTCATCAATGATAATCGAGATAATCAGATTGCTGACGTATATGTAAACCGTTAGCTGTAACCAAGGATACGTACGCTGCGATACTTCCCGTGACGGCTACATTCAAATGTGCGCCTGCGCTGTTTACATTTCCGGTGCCAGTTGACCATCCACGAACGTTTGGGTTGTATAGTTTCAGGATATCTGAAATGACGGAAAATGCTGAATAACCTTAAAATGTTTCAGGAATATCTGTTATCATTGACAGGAATACCTAAAGTTTTACCTATAACAACTACAATGTATGTCAAAAAAGTGCAACTAGTGTCAGTTTACATCTCCGTGATACTGATGAAATGAAATGAAATAAATATTCATACTTACTCGGCAAGGTAAGTCGACTATTTAAGTTGCCGTCTCCTCCAATACTGTACAGAATAGCGTAATTCTTTTTAATTTACAGTTAGCATATACTTCTTAACAAGCAAAACAACTTTTTCTTTACACAATTGCAATATCTGAAGTAGTGACTTGTAATATAGAAAAAAAAGACTTGCTCCTCTTGCACATATATACACATCTTCATCGATAGCCAAAAGATACACTTATGTACGTGTGTTGTACCACTTACCTCCAAGAGCGCCCCCTATATTCAGTGAAATCTCCAATTATGGTGAGAGCATCGATACCGTTTCCAGCCTGAAAACACAATATCGATTAAGATTAAATAAATGATAGATTCTTAGGCATTTTTAATTAGTCATTCCTGATGTGAGAAAGAAAAAAAGACCAAAACCGATATTACGTCAATACATTACAATACATGAGCAGAATTTTATAGGAAAAATAACGTTATCATACTTCATGAAAGATAACAAAAGTGAAAAATTTTAAAACAATTTGAAAAAAAAATGAAATTTCTAAGTTCAAGGGACGTTCCTCTGTAAAGTATTAAAGTACACATTTTAAAGTTCAATAGTTTAGGCCAAAGTTTCTCACATGTAAGTCAAATGCCACGTTCAAGGTCACGTGGTGAAAACTTTTGGTAGCACGGGAATGGTGTAAGCACAAGGAACACATATGCCAAATATGAAAGCCCTACCTCTTATGTTGCAACATGCATAGTTAAAGTTGACAACAGACAAACAAACAGACAGAGAGCAAAAAACAATACGCCCCGGTCTTTCTATCCGGAGGCATAAACATATCCAATAAAAATTTAATGATGGTCTTACCGTGAGTGAATCACCCATAGCAGCTACCACTTTAATATCGGAGGGGTGTAATTCATGTACTACAACAACAATGACAGTAATTAGACATCTGCCATGTGTATATAATTAACAAGAAAGACACTTGTTACCAATAATCTGTTTCGTATGGTATCAATACTCCAATATTTATGTGTATGATATCCAACACCAATATTTGGCATAAAATGTCACTTCTACTCCAGAAATACAAACGTAAAGTTCCTCATGCTATTGTGTTTAAACTAAAATATCCATCTCGAATCATTCCTTCATTCTGAAATTATAATTAAATATACAAATTTATGTATTACATGGTGTCATGCAGTTTTGGCTGCTCCCGCAGACACAAAAAATCCCCAACAAAACAGCTATCAAACTATTTCGAATGAAAATCGGTACCTACCACTACGCGGCGCTATGTTGAGTGAGGATGTCCCTGTACTACATGTAAACGATGGAATAGGATATGTAGCTTTCTTAGAGTGCTGTAGAAAGTCAAACATTTCTTTTGTTAAAGTGAAGACGATAAACAGTGAATAAACAGCTTAACTCAGAACAAAAACAAGTGATGATGAAACAAAGTCATGGCGAACCGAAACAATATTGCTATTGCTGTCTTTGTCTGTATACAGTACTGTAATCGTTTTTAAAATGTTCAGAACTGACCTTGATTTCATATTGTGCCACGTGGTCCTTCCACATCTGCAACAAAGTGCTGTTGTTCGGAACCGTCTCGTTATAGAATTTCACATAACGCTCATACCAAGTAGATGCTACAACACAATATAAGCTTCACATGATTTCCCGATCGCATATAAATATATACATCATCACAAAACAATCACATATAAGCTGATCGTTAATGCTACGATATATATATTTACATAAAGTATACATGGTCAGTGTCTTAAAATGAAAGCTATATTTTGGCGAGGGTGAAAAAAGAAAAAAGTGGCAAGCCTCTAGCGATCCACTTTTGTCTTTCTGTCCCGAGCCAAAACACAGATTATATTTTAAGACATTGATCATGTATTCTCTTTGGTTGAAAGTCAGACTATTGAAACAAACGGATTTGTTGGTCAATATAGGTTTACCCTGACATTGACGTTACGCTGAATTTTGCCGAGGAGTAATTATGTCGAATTACCGCAAGTGCTAAAATGCAACTGTTTTCCGTCACTGCTGAATACAACAAAATATATGTCGCAGGTGTATTCCGACAATGGTTATATATATAATTTTCATTAATAATATATATAAAATATAGTTACTGACGATACGCAAGTGATAATATAAAGAAAATTGTTAAAAAAACACACAAGAAAAAGTTAAGTTAGTATTTTGTATAACGTTTTCACAGCTTAGCTGCTCCTCAGTGCAATGCAATTTTCTTTATATATATATATACATATATATATTATTAATGAAAAATTCAAATATCGCCTTGGCCGAGTGGATATTTCATCACGTGGATACTGTGATAAATAAACCCTTGATTCCTATATAGATAACGGTACCTACAAATCGATGTCATAGGATCCAAGATGATTTTTTCACTGACATGTAAGAAACACCATTGTATCAAGCTCAGTGATGTAATAATGATTTTGATGTAAAATTGTTAGCGTCGTTGCATAGCACGAACGTTTTCATTATCAATTCACAGCTTCTCGTGTCGCGAAGACTTTAATACTGTCACAGATATCTCGACAAGCTAACGATGTGCAATACCATAGAATGAACACTAAAAGCTCACGAAGCGCAATATGTCGTCTTTCAAGCCGTCATAGATGTAACTGGCTCAAGTGCCTTTTAACTGGCTTGCCGAACAATTACGGTGCAGCAACAGGGTCTCATTCGACTGCAAAAGTCCTTACTTTATCGATCAGTGGGGCGTCAGCGTTTTTTCTAACGTCGCGTGGAACGATATGTTATTGATCTACAACGACCTTGAAAGTCCCTTCGTCGACATTGAAGGTAATTTTAAAGCTCGACCTTGGCATTGTTTTATTACCTCTCGCGTTTTGCCGCCTGCAAGACCAGGCCCAGTGCCAGGCGGCGAGATCCGCTATGGACTTGCTTCGTCAAATTAATGTCGGCATGTTAACGTGTCCCCTATACATTCCCAAATACTTGCTTATTGAGCATGCGTAAAACATGTTCCATCAACGCATCCTAATTCCCCGATGGTCCCTCCTTCTGCAGAGTGGCAGAACATTTCTATGACACATATTTATCGAAAAATGTGATAATTAACAAATCCTAATTGGGACAGACAATTTACTCGTTAAAGTAATCGGAAATTCTTACCTACGGTTCAGCCTTGAGTCTGTCAACGGGATACCAAGGGTTATGTCCCTTTAACGTTTATCGAGTCATAACATTAGCATAAATAATAAGTTTGAGAGACAAACAAGGTTCAATTTTCTTTTTTGAAAGAGACATTTACATTTTAACTCAACAATTAAAAGGTCTAGAATCAAAAACCTAACGGTAGCAGAGTGGTAATATCCCTGCTCTCATCTCCAACATTCTTGCATCGAATGCTCCTGTCGGCTTTTTTTCTGTTTTTTGAATTTTTTTTTTTTTTTTTTTTTTTAATTTTTTTAATGGAAATCGCAAGGTATTCTTTTTTGCTTCGAAAGGAAAAAAATTAAATATGAAGCAATTAAATCGTTGGTTTTTTGAGATGTGAAATGAAGTGAAAATATCAATCGTCTCCAATCACAAAAAAATCATAAAAGTTATTAGAGTTGTTGATAAATACCTCTAACGTTGGCGAACGTGCACAACGTCACGACGAGGAGAGAGGTAAACATGGCGCCTTTACTCTTCAGTGCTGCCTACGGAGTGTTTTTCTCTATCTTTCTTTAAGTCCAAATCGGTAAGTAATTCATGTCAAGTATCGAATCTTATCTGACACGATAAACTTTGGCCGGCATATTTTTGGATATCTCATAATCAGTTAATGTATTCCTTACCTCAAGAACATTGGAATCTCTCGGACGATAACAAAGCACGTTGCATGCCTATGAAGGATTTACATTAATGTATGGTGTTTATATATTATAAACAGCATATTTCCCTTTTTACCAATAAAGTGAACTCTCTCGTTTTATGTTTATATACCTATAGAATCTAGTACGTCATATAGACGGTATGATCCAATATTTGTGCCGGATCCTAAAAAAACATATGTTCGTTGGATGAGTATAACTGGAACAGATATATGATCAATGAAGTAATAACGATAGTACGAAGGTGAATTCTTAAATTTTCGATTCAATCTGCCCCTTTATAAGACACAAATATATCATAAATTACATCACACACATAGAACATAAAACAGATACAAAGTTATAAACTAATATTGAGAGCGGCGATGTAAATTTAGTTGTCTCGCAGTAATATCTTTGGCCGATGGAGGCCGAAGGTAAAACAAAACATCCTGCGGTAAGACAGCACGAGAATTGAAAGCTATAGCAACCATCTAGTATAACAGACATTTGTTATCTGACATTGTTACTACTTACTTTAGCGGTCTGTGAGAAGATCTCTTCTCAAATCACTCCTCATACTCAAACATGTATGTATTACAAACTTCTAAAATGTGTGTTTGGTTTAATTGGTTTTTTTTTTTATAGCGGTAAGTCCAATTAACAGCCAAGGTCATTTAAGGACGTGCTGGAGTGAAAGCCGGAGTTTCCGGATTAAACCAACGACCTGCGACCAGTGTCTGGCGACTGTCCCAAGTCAGTCTCGAATCAGCATCCTAGAGGTGGAGGGCAAATGGTAAACAAATGGTTATTTACATTTGTCGAGGTTGTAGGAGGTAGACCCTATCAGACCTTTTGCAACACTGACGCGTCCTAGAAGGATGAAACAGCTGTATGATGCAGTTTCATTCATCAGTTGACTCTACCGTCTCTAAATCCGAACTTATATTGAAAAATGTTCAGCAGTCGAGATTTCAGAGAGAAGACATTGCTGTTAGACCTTTAGTATCCAAGGTTTGTAATCTACAAATAATGTTTAATCCATTCGAATAATGGCACGTTTAAGATTAAGGATATACACGAGTACATGACATTCTTTTCAAGTTTGATTTTCCCAACGTTTGGTCAAATCTCAGCATCACTGAAGAAATCTAGAGAGATGATTCTATTTAATTCATTATTTAACTCTAAATTTGTATTGCAAGATGTCTTTCACTTAATTAGGTTGGTATATAACATCTTGGATTTCAGGGTTTTTTTTTATCAGGACTTGAAAATGAAACTTCACAGCTAATTTTGTCACAGACTAAACGCTAATTGCAGACGTAGGGGTAAGTTCAGATAACGGAACTATTGGTTGAAACCAGGTTATTTTGGGTCACGATTCGATACCATAAACAAACACAGGACACGAAAACTCTGACCGTTACATTTACTGATAAACCATTTGGCGACGAGTGTGTTTTGTAGCAACGTCAAGTCGAATTCTTGAACGTTACGAACTATGGCCTTGACGATGGCCTCAGAAGACAATAGTGAACATGCAATTATCCTACTCAAGTATTCGAAAGTATCAGAAACAAGGAAAAATCCAGAGTCAATTTTCTCTCCATTACTTCCATAAATATATCCACAAGAAAACGTGCTAGCAGCCAGTATAAAGTTGAAAAATGACCTTCGTTGAAAACGGCCCATGACCCATTTTCAACGTTGAAAATGGAACCGACGAGATGTTGTAAGTGGGGGTGGAGTTGAGAGGGGCGGTCCTTAGACTTCAACTTTATATTGTAAGATGTGTAAATGAAAATGATATAATATTGATTGATATCGATGATCTATCTGATCTGTGACCTTTGATGACTTATATTGACCTTTGACATATCTTTACATTGTAAAAAGATGTGTAATTGAAAAGTATACAATATAAATTGATATCGTTTATTTATTTGAGTGAGCAGATCCAGGATTCAGGGTGAAAGTGAAGCACATTTTGGTCTGTGTTCTGAAATAGTGTCCTTTCCCCATCGCATTTCCCAGATTTAAAAAAAAAATCAATGCATTGTACACAGAGGCAGGTCGGGGGCTGTCCATTTTTCACTTCGAGGACCGTCGACCGCCTATTTTGAAAACCTGTGGCTTTCTCTTCGCTATTTTAGAACGAGCTCGAGCGACGATTCACAAATTCCACATATGCTCGTAGATGTGCTAGTGTAATAAAATTGAAGAAAAAAAAGGAAAAGCAGTTGACTCCATCTTGTTTTTTTCTTTCCGGGCACTGAAGGGAAAATTATAACTTTTCTATACATAGAATTCCTTACTTTAACTGATGCTTTCATATACATTTACGTTGTACTTAATCCACGTGTCGTAACAACGACTACAAAGAAGGTACCGCAAAAACTCAGTCTCCTACGTATGTAGCCTCTAATGAAGATCCCACGCGCTCGATGGTCGGTGCTCGGTACCCTTGGCGGTTTGTGTGTCTCGGGAAGCTGAAATTGGTTTATACTGATGTGTTTGTGTCCTTTGACATTTTACCTTAAGCTCTGGATGACGTGTGTTATTCGGTGAGGAAGTCACCAGCCACTACAAAAGGACCAGTCTCAAAATCCAAATCTGTCGACACTTCGATCGTTCCCTGGTCCACTAACAGTGTATGTTGTCTTCTTGGTTAAATTCTCTCATTGCTAAGACCCATAAGAAAGTTAAGACGACTTGCGAAACTTTCTGAACTTAACGATCACAACTTTTTCTTGTGTTAATTTTTAGCTTACATTTTAAGTCCTTCTGATATTGCTCTAATCTCGTGACGCTTTGGTGATGTTTTTTGTTAGCAATTTTAGTTTAAAAAATAAGACGTCTGAGTGTCTTTACCACTAGCCCTCCGATATCTGTGTCGCTGGTTCGAGTCCTACGTGGGGCAGTCGACAGGTATAAGTACTGACCGAAGGTCGATAGGTGTTCTCCAAGGACTCTAGCTTTCCTCCACCATCCAAACCTGGCACGTCCTTTAATGACCCTGGCTGTTGATAGGACGTAAAACAACAATATCAAACCAAGTTTACACGTGTACCTGATTTAAGTCTTGAGGTTTTAACAATGGTTGTTTCCTTTGCTCTCTCTTAAACCATACTGATATCGATATTTCACGTGTTTTATTTAAGTTCATGTGAACTCTGTCAAGTTAACAACTGTACGTAAAAACGTGTAAACGTTTGGTTGTTCAAGGAAAATATACTTTGGATCTGTCTATATCTATTCTCGCTTTCATAAAGACAATTTTTTCACTTCTAATATCTTATCTCACACGGTATCATCTGTACGTCATATTTTGTATTTGAAGTGAATTTCGCTTTATGTGGGGAAGGCTGTTTGGTTTGTCCCAAAGTCGCGACATACCAAAGTAAATAAAATGTTACTTCCCGCTTATTTTCTTCTCTTCAGTATAGAATGAAATGCACCAGGACACCACGCCCGTTGTTATGGTAATGTGATCGGTCGGGTGTCATGTCACATTGTACAATGTCCAGATTATGACTTTTCAGTATGGTAGCACTATAACTGTGTCCGTCCGCGGCACCATCGTCCATGGACGTTGCGATAAAATAAAATCTTTACTACAACGTTTTCTCATACAGAAGAAAGGGAAGTGATCACCGATACCAACTAGTAGAACAACTAACTGACTCATTACGTGTATCACTTAGCAATTTAAAGATAAGATATTTAGTAGAATCTGTTATATATTGTAATCTCGTTAGATTTTAGATATAATTTCCAAGATTAAAAAGTTGCAATAACATGCAGTATGAGAAATATAATTGATTACATGCAACGTTTTGGAATCAAATAATAGAATCGTTTGTTCAAATCTATCACAAAAGTCACTTTGGTTCTATGGTCTTTAACAGGTTCCCACAGTAATTGGGGTCGTTTTGTGGAGATAAAAATCAACAAAAAAATTCCTCTGATTCGCGACTTGTCACATCCACTGGACCAACATATAAATCCTCTCTGACGTAGGCGAATACTTTACCACTCCATCTACTCTTCATATACAGAAACAAATTACGCTAAAATAAAGTGGTCAAGGCATTGCAGTTGCCAAATCACTATTCATTGAGAGGCCAGTTTCCAGGCCAGCTATCCCGGCCCAGGAGTGAGCTTGTACTGACCAAGTTCCTTGGCTGGCTTCCATGTATTCCATTTAACAAAGTCAGTTAACACAGCCTCGTTATCCACAGTTATTTGATACGAATTCCCGACCCCCCAGACCGTGGGTCGGGAATTTGTGCCAAATTCCTGTGCCGCTATCCATGTACAACAGGATTTGCATTGACATATATAGTATTTTAAGCTGACCGTTATCATGTTAGGCTGATCAAATCGCCTTTATTAGTCCATGATCTCGATATCCCAATCCATCGATTTTTAGGTTTTCCGTCTGCATTTCATCATTTAGGTCCCATGTTATGATTGCATGATCACGTGTCTCCTAGGGATGCCATTATTTCTACGACTTTGAATTAAATGAATTTCGTAATTTTCCTATATAAGGTAATTTTAGAACAGCGTCACGTTCAGGAGGAGTCACGGAAACGGAAAACCTGTCAACCAACCAACCAATCAACCATCTGCTATCTCAATAACTGTACAAGAGACATACAAGCAAAAAGCACCTTGTAATGATCTAGAGTGAGATACCGTAGAGTCATACAATGAATTAAACTGCACCAGACAACTGTTTTGTCCTACTAGGACTCATGAATGACGCTAAGGGCCTTACATTTTGATGCCTAGGAGGCGACTGAGGAAAATCCAAGGGGATCGGAAAAAAAATCAAAATTTAGACGGGGAGGTGCATCAGTCCCATTAAATAATTTAATAAAAATTAGTTGTTAAAGACAGTGAATTACTCTAATTTATTCCTTACGGGAATTAACAAGAACTTGCATGTTTCCGACTAATAGCCAATATGTCTCATTTAGTTTAATTTAATTTACCACCTAAAACAACATCCTCTCTCTCAGTCTGAAGAATTCAGGAATAAACTAAAACCATCTCGATGAAAATCTATGAGTATCCTGACTGGTTTTAAGCATATAACACCAATTTATTTCACACCTAGCTTTTCAGTTCCAATCTTTTAAACAAAAAGTCGGTATTACTGTATATAATTTCTTATTTTGTAGGGAGATATCTGTATTTAATTACAAAAACTTCAGGTTCCCTGTTCCATTAAAAATAATGTTCATCCTTTCTGGTCATCCGCCATCTCTTCTTCTCTTCAGCTCCGAAGGCGGCGGATAATACAGTATCTCCTAGGCCATCATTTTCAGCGATGTCTTCTGGAGATTTTGGTCTCGGAACAAACGTACATTGTACTTATACCTGGAGTAAGATCGGTTTTCTGTGTATTTGTTGACATCCTGGTATATGAATTCTCTTAATCTTAAACTTTGTCTCTCCATTTGATATACCGTATGCCTTTCTTTATGTCGTCTAACACCTCCCACCCCCTGTTTTGATCCCTGGTTTTCGATTATCATTAATTTTTCCTCACTCTTCCTTTTTCCGCTCTCTTCTTTCTCTCCATTGTCAAGTCTATTTGTTATTTTCATAATGCATCGCGTTTTCACTGCTCATCGTTTTATAATGCCTTGTAACAATTATCTTTTTGAATCGTTTCTCCTCGATATTATCAGATATTTTTCATTTTTCTCAGAATTATTTCTCTCGGATTTCTTTGTTGACTTTTGTCAAGTTGTCATATAATTTTGTTATTTTCATAATGCATTCCTTAGACGTTACCTTCCCACATTCCTTAAACTGTTTTTTTCACTGCTCATCGTTTTATAATGCCTTGTAACAATTATCTTTTTGAATCGTTTCTCCTCGATATTATCAGATATTTATCTGCATTTTTCTTTTTATCGACAGACTTACAAGTATAAGGAAAAAGACAGAAATAAAAACATGATTGTATTGAATTTCCAACTTCTGAGATATATCACTATGGTATCATGAAACCTGCTAATTATGTATTATTATTAATGGTGTATAAAATATGAAAATTGAAAATACATTACATTTTCCATGGTATTGAAAATGCGAAAATTCTGGCAGAGTGTGGTTTACAAGCACAAGCTAAAACTGCAACAAAATTTCGGTACTAAGTGGCAAAAGACATCAGCATAACTAGTCCAAAATCAGCAAAACAATTAAATGACAAATAACAAAAAAAAAAAAAAAACCAGAAACAGTCTCAAAACAAAAATACAAACAACGGTATTGCAGATGAAGTTTTATCAATCATTTCTCAAATTCACACGCATCCAAATATTCAAAAAGTTGAGCCGGTAAATAAAAACTTCCTAATGTCATTTTATACACAGAGGGGCAAATGTTAGATCTATGAAATCAAACTGTTCTGGTGAAGGCGGTAGCAATTTAGGAGTTGATAGAACTTTTAATTTAAGTAAATGCTTTGTGACAACATTTACATACAAGAATCAAGGTGTAGTTCACACAAAATCAATCATGTTAGGACCGCTTTTCTTTCTATGGGATGAGGAGATGGAAGACATATCATTCTTTTTTCTCGTGGTCGGGTAGAATTAGGAAACGTTCCATTAATCATTAGTATTTCAACATCTGTCTCTGACTAAAATATGCATTACTTTTTGTGCAAAAAACTTCTTCATATATTTTAAATGGAGTTTGACTTGAATGGATAATTAGAGACGCCACATAATTATTACAAAACATCAATTTATAACATCTATGTGCAAGTGTCAATAGGCTCTAGATTTTAGCAATTAAATGTACTCGCTAGTTTTGTGTTAATGTGATGTCTTTTCTTCTATTTCATTACTGTGAAAATTCCATCTCGATTGCATGATGTCTGTTATTTATCAATCGTAACTATTAGTCACTGTTATTTTTCAGAAGGATTAGTAACATTTATAATCAGAATGATAGTATCAGACGAATGGCAAGAAATAAACAGATTAAATTTATAACATTAGTAAGCTTAAATTAATCGCCATTCCGTGGATCAGGGGAGGTAAATCTTACGCACGTCACCGTTCAGAAGAGAAACATGTTAATTCTCAGTGTTATATTTTTAAAATGACTGACAGTCTCTACTTATTTATTTATTGTTTTGAAGTTTGTACGGGGCTTTGGGGGGTCTCTTACAGTTTTTTTTGTCTTCCTTGATAAATTGTACCGTCCACATTCTCCTGATATAAACCGGAAATACAATAATCGATTTTCATTTTCACGAGGTATTCCGAAAGACAATAGCAAAACACTCCGAGGAAAGCCTAGACCCACACACGACGTACACAGGCATCGTTAAAGTGACACATTTGCAAATCTACACGGAAACGTGGTATTCACCGAAGGTAAGAGTCGAAAGTGATTGTGCTAGTCTTAATTGTTATGATTTTTGACACTTCACGACAAGTTTACAAATGCTGGACTAAATTTGTCTTAGATTTTGTTGTGTTATTGTTCTGACGAAGCACTCGCCACAAGTCGTGGTGGTCTTTCGTGACAACTGCGTTACGCATCATGAACTTCTTCGTATTTACTCTGGGAATACTTCCAAATCATCCTCGATCGATTGCAGACAGTTTCACTTGTTGGTGACATGCAGTATTGTTGTACCATATGTTCACTCCAGTAGAGACTCATTACTATGATAATCATATGAAACATTTTGTCCAGTCGGTTCACGTAGTACCATACATCGGCTTGAATAGAGGTCCCGACCTATATGTTCACCCAAAGCCTTTCATGTTATATAATTAGCAAATTTCTTAGTTGTACAAAGAATTAGTAAAACAGAACAATAAAAAATTGGTTACCCACCAGAAATTAGAAAGTAAGCATATTTCTTATTATTGAAGTGGTACCATTGAATATAGAAAGAAAATCAGAATTTGAGGTTTTGATGTGCCTCACAGCAACTAAGCTGTCTTAATGATTATTGTTATCAGCTGTAATATTTCTCAACTGCCTTGGGAGTGTAAAACTGGAGCTACCATTTGGAGCTTTAATTATGGTAGCTTGCCCCTTACACATAGTCAACAGTGACCAATCCGTACTCACTTACCGCTGAGATGACAAGTAGGATAAAGTATCTTGATAAGGAATGGAACAAAAATTTTGTCCAGGGATACAAGATGTCCATGGCAAGAGTTGAACTACAAACTGCCATTTCATTATCATCCTACCATTAGACCACCATGTCTGTAAAAAAAATTGAATTTAAAGAATACTCTTTAACATCACTGCTGCAGTACTAATTTTAGAAAATCCTTCTCAGCGCTCTATCAGCTTCATTCCTTGACTGATTTTAATCAATAAACTTCACAAAATTTAATTCCTATCCCTAATTAGTTTTAAGTGGCAGGGCTGTAGGGTTACCATTACTATATTTAGAAAATCTTTCTCAGTATTCTTTTTCACTTCTAGGGAATTCCTTCCTTAAAGGAGTTTGATCTTACTTCACAATTTCTTATAAAGGATGATAATGATGATAATAGTTTGGATGTATTTGAGTTGCAGGGTTGTTTAATGGTCAAAATCATTGCTAGTTTTCTGAGATTCTTCCTTGTGCTCTGCTGTCTTAGTTTTATCGACCACTGTATGTGAGAAAAATTAGCTTAAAATTCAAAACCTTAAACTGCATTTTTAATTCCTTCTACATAGTAGAAAGACTTAAGTTAAACTAAATTACATATATAGTACTTATATATTTAAACTGTGAGAATGTAAAACTCGCACCTCAAAGATGACCCACATAATTGTCAATTGGCAGATGATCACTCCATATTTTTTTTACATTGGATTCTGGAATAAAACCCAGATATTTGTGGAGGCTTAAGCTGCAAAAATATTTCCACTGAGCTGCAAGACCACACATTGAAATTATTTTAAGTGAGACATGGAGAATGTGTCCAACTTCAAGTAACTACTGTTAAAAGAGTAGCATCTGAAAACACACTACAGCCACTACTGCAATACTACATCTACTTGGCAGTAGGAATACAGTGTGTCTTTCAAATCTACTGCACTGTTCTTCTTCTGCTGCAGTAGGCTACCACAATACTACCGTTAAATCTTAGCATAAAAGTCTCTTACTGAGCACTATTGTAATAACACTGCATTAACTAAGTTTGGAACAATAATTTATGAGCTAATACATTTGTGCTTGCAGGACAATCCTAATGGGGTTTTGAAATGCAAGTGACCTTTACCATTCCCTTAATAATCCTTTATTTCCTAATTGAATTCTGCTGTCAGCTTCTTAATTGCTATTCTAAAAGCAACTTTGAAACTTTTTGTACCGTCTTACCGTTCCTCTAATGTATCAGAGTGCAGTCTGAAATATTATAACAATGTTATATTATTTCATGTCTTCTTTAGTATTACATAAAGAATGTCTGTTACTCTAAAATCTGATTGTATATTGAAAACTTGGGTTGAATATTACATTTATTTTAACATTTAATCTTTGGAAGAGTTTTGAGTTTTTGTGTTTTCGAGTAGCCTGGCGAATTGCTTGATGTCATTAAAGTAATAAGAGTCCTGTGTAATTTTGAAATTTGTCAACCAGGATATAATATCAATATTAATTGTATTTTCATCAGTCAATTCTGATCTCATTTTTCAAAGCATAATTCATTCTAAACCATGCAATTTCGACATATACATTGAATTTATCATTCGTAAGAACTGTTGATGTGGTGTTGTCAAGTTTGTTCATGTGTGATATTAGGTGTTCCAACGAAAAAAAAAGCCAAAAGTTTTTCCAACTGCAGCCCAAGTTGCAATAAGTGCTAAGAATATCAGGATAGACAACTACTTCATTTTAAAAAGTTTACCCTGTTTTTCTTTATACTACTGAAATTGCCTTTAAGTGTTTAGAGCATGCATTCCTAGCCTGATTATCGTAGGTAGATAAAGAGTTTGACCCTGTCGAAAATCATACATCATTATAATTGAACTTTTTTTTCCCATTCAATTCTGATCACTCTAATACTTGAAGCTCCAATACATAGTTTCCGCTTCACATGCGCATTGTTTTTAGGAGTGAGGCCCGACAGGTCAGGCCTGGAAAGTAGCAGAAAGCAATGTTTGTTCTGTGGGTTGATGATAAAAAAATTGACCAGAGGATTTTTTGACATGTTTGTAAGGATAGTATTAGATCATGTGATGGGTGTTACTTGTCTTTCAAGGGATTTTAGATGGTAAGTACAGCTTGTGACAATGGATTCGTCTATCAATAGATAAGTTTCTCGACAGGTAACTTTCATTTTTAAATTAAATTTTACTAGAGAATTTGTTGCACTTCCCAAAGTATAATTGCAAATTGCAAAAGCCTCATATTTTCTGCATTTCTCACGCTGAGGAGGATGAAAGGAATAATAAAATAACTTTAATTTATTTCCCATTGCTTTTTTTATTTGAGATCACGAGACCACTGATCACAGGAAGTGTGAAGTTACAACAAGAACTTTGTGTTGTATTTTCAGCTGCACTCTTCCAACTCCACTGAAAGGAAGTGTCATGATGCTCTAGTAAACCATTTGTTTGATGAATGAACATACTGTAGAAAGAACATTTCATCATTCTGATGATTTTGAATACATTTTTGTTCTCTTGCTCAAATTGTTTTTGGTTTTTGTTTTCTGAGGTGTGATCACATAATGGTATTGTGTACTAATCTGTCACCAAACTGTTTTGTCAGATCCTAAGAGATTAATCTTCATATGATAACTTGGACAATTGTTTCTAAACTGACCCACTACCATTGGGAAGTTTATCAACCTACTTTAGGGAATGTCACATTATTTCCTTGAGGATTTTTTGGTTATTGTCCAATGTTTTAAATTAAGATACATCAGTGGATTTCCTTTCAAATTGGATCAGCTTACCATTATGACACATAGTTTTATTTTAAAGAATATAATGGCACTGTCATTTGTTTTATTCTGAAATTCAGTCTTGTAAATAGATCAGTCTTACTTGTTTTATAACCAATCGCTTTTACAAGTGTTTGACTTTTACTGTGACATGTGGACATGTAGTTGTGTTTGACTTTTACCGTGACATGTAGGATATGTAGTTGTGTTTTGACTTTTACTGTGACATGTGGTCATGTAGTTGTGTTTGACTTTCACCGTTACACATGGGACATGTAGGTGTGTTTGACTTTTACTGTGACATGTGGGATGTGTATTTGTGTTTGACTTTTACTGTGACACGTGGCAAATGTAGGTGTGTTTGAATTTTACTGTGACATGTGGATGTGTTGTTGTGTTTGACTTTTACCGTGACATGTAGGACCTGTAGTTGTGTTTTGACTTTTACCTTGACATGTAGGATCTGTAGTTGTGTTTGACTTTTACCTTGACATGTGGTCATGTAGTTGTGTTTGACTTTTACCTTGACATGTGGTATGTGTAGTTGTGTTTGACTTTTACCTTGACATGTGGTATGTGTAGTTGTGTTTGACTTTTACCTTGACATGTGGGATGTGTAGTTGTGTTTGACTTTTACTGTGACATGTGGACATGTAGTTGTGTTTGACTTTTACCGTGACATGTAGGATATGTAGTTGTGTTTTGACTTTTACTGTGACATGTGGTCATGTAGTTGTGTTTGACTTTCACCGTTACACATGGGACATGTAGGTGTGTTTGACTTTTACTGTGACATGTGGGATGTGTATTTGTGTTTGACTTTTACTGTGACACGTGGCAAATGTATGTAGTTGTGTTTGACTTTTACCGTGACATGTAGGACCTGTAGTTGTGTTTGACTTTTACCTTGACATGTGGGATGTGTAGTTGTGTTTGACTTTTACCGTGACATGTAGGACCTGTAGTTGTGTTTGACTTTTACCTTGACATGTGGTATGTGTAGTTGTGTTTGACTTTTACCTTGACATGTGGTCATGTAGTTGTGTTTTGACTTTTACCATGACATGTAGGATGTGTAGTTGTGTTTGACTTTTACCTTGACATGTGGTCATGTAGTTGTGTTTGACTTTTACCTTGACATGTGGTCATGTAGTTGTGTTTGACTTTTACCGTGACATGTGGTCATGTAGTTGTGTTTTGACTTTTATCATGACATGTGACTTTTACCTTGACATGTGGTATGTGTAGTTGTGTTTGACTTTTACCTTGACATGTGGTATGTGTAGTTGTGTTTGACTTTTACCTTGACATGTGGTCATGTAGTTGTGTTTTGACTTTTACCATGACATGTAGGATGTGTAGTTTTGTTTGACTTTTACCGTGACATGTAGGACCTGTAGTTGTGTTTTGACTTTTACCATGACATGTGGTCATGTAGTTGTGTTTGACTTTTACCCGGACACATGGGACAT